TAAGATGGCACATGCCAGGTGATGAGAGGGGAGGCTGTCAGGGGGGAGGGGAGAAAACGAATGAAGAAGATATAGCAGGTTCAAATGAAAGAGGAACCAGAAGAGAGGAAAGAACAAGGCAAGGAACAGAAATAGGACAGATATACAGGAAGAAAGAGGGACTGTAGAGGATAAGAGACAAAGGAAAGAGGAAGAGAAGCGCAGGAGAGGGGAAGTATATATAATAGGGTGGCAGGTGAGAGCCGTGGGAAAAAGACCGTGTTGCTGCCTTTTTTGCAATGTTTGCTGGGTTTTTTGATTTTCTTCATTTTGAACATATATTTCACTGGTTTGCCATCTTAACTACCGAGCTTTGATGTGCCATCAAACCGGTCGAAGGGATCAGGCGCCTTTTGTGCCTTTTTGCAACTTTTCCCCAGTTTTTTTTTGATTTAGGACATTTTTTCCCCCTGGCTTGCCATCTTATCTCTCGAGTTTGGATGTGCCATCAATTGGTGAACCGGTATAGTAAGGGTATGTACCCCCTGCGCACCCAGGAGACTAGTTTATCTGGTACATCTCTATATGGACTACTGAAACTGCCTAACTGCTCACCCGCTCTCCGAACACTTTTTGTTGCATTGCTCCGATCATCGCTTCCACGCAGCCACCATGTGAATCCTGCAACATGATGACACTCCAACTGCAAACTCTCCTCATGTTCACTGCCCTTCTCATGTTCATGCATCAAGCAAAAATAAGCTTGGTCCTCCGCACACGCTTTTTGCAACCTTCAACCTTACATAAAGTGCACCGCGCATTGATAATCACACTGCACCATAGCTCTGCAAAATGTTGAGCCAAGTACCCTCAAACGTGCCACCTTCATCATGTAGCTCTCGCACTGCTGGCCCGAAACGTGTCTGGCATGCTTGAGCACGCCGGTGTCCTCCTCCGAGAAGCATGCCCAATGTCTGGTGCTGTGTCCTTGAACCAGCAAGTTCGCTCTACAATTGCCAATGATCTCAGGCCCAAAGATCCGTTTACTATGACCACGTCCAGTGAAAAGAGGTCATTGACCTGTAGGTCCTAGACTACTCTGGATGGAACCCTCATGTGACGTGAACGGCAGCTAAGAGTCGCCACCACAAGCATCGCCTGAGCATATGCTTGAGTATGTGGGCCGGCTAGAAAAACAAGACCCGAGCTTTCAAGAATAAACCTGATGTGTTGTTGATATCACAAAAATACCAAAGGTTCCGATTGAGACCCTGCAAATTTATAGGGCTTGGGTGCGTAGGGTAGGGTGATATACTCTTTTTATATGGCTTGATTACTATAGTTGATTGGTTTTAGAAGCTGATGTGCCGATTTCTCTTCTCGACTCAGCGTGCTTGCAGTGGCTCTTCCGGGAGTGGGTTGGGTACCCCCTGGCGGCCACCCTGGTCCTGCTCCAACCCAGAACTTCCGTGACTTGACACATGAAGTCATACCCCAGCACGTGCCAGGCTGAACTTAAATGAGTCATGACTGGACCCTGAGTGCAAGGGCCCTTTCAAGTCCCTCCTCAATCACCATCCGTCAGCGTGGTTTCACAGAACCGCGCAGGCTTCGGAGCGGAAAAATCTCTGTAACGTGATTCACCTGCCGATGGGTCTACGTCTTCTTAAGCTCCAAAAGGCCAACCCAAAAGGCCAATCGGGCACATGGTGACTTCAGGCTGGGCTATGGCCAACACTACATCAATCTGTCAAGAATAACGAATCAAATGAATCTTCTCCGTCAGACCGTCGATGCGCCTTGGCGTTTCTCGCCGCCGGAACCCGTTCCGTCCGTTCCGTGACCCGGGCGTTTTCCGGGCGCTCACGCGGAGACAGAGGTATTGGATCGTCCCCGTCTCCTTGCAACGGCCTGGCGCGCTGCTTCCGCGCGCCTGGGACCTCGCCCTGCCGGAGGGGACGTCGCTGCAGGAGGCGGCCAGACGAGAGACGGACGAGAGCCGAACGACGCCGGCTTTGAGGGCAGAAGAAGTCTAGGTTCCGGATGCGGGCGCATGCCCTATGTTCGTCCACTACACAACAGAAGTGTCATGCAGGTCCAAATCTGACCTGAGTTTCCCCAAAAACCGCAACTGGTGTGTATTTTGAGAGGAAGACCCTCCCCGCCAATGGGTTTCTATGGTCTCTTTCCCTTCACCGACCCCAGCTCCCGTCTGAGGTCACCGGCGTGGACCGTCCGGCGTCCGCCAGGTGGCCGCATCACCTCAATGCCCTCTGGCCTTGCAACGAGACGAGCTGCTGGTGGCACCACGCTGTGCTGCGCAGCGTGCGAGTGGCATGCTGGAAGTGTCAAAGACGGAGGCAGGTGGAAGCACTTGGAGTGTGGGAGATGGGCAGGTGAGGGGTTGCAGCTACGTGTAGGGTGGAAAAAATGTGGCCGGTCATGCCGAAGGTCGGGAAGGGGGAGCAACAGTTTGAGCATTGTCCAGTGGACCCCAGTTTCCATTGTTCTTGCGCCTGAGGAAAGGGGGAGCAACAGGCAGACGTGATTGGTTTCTCAAGAGGATATCTCAAGTCAGATTCCATCGAAAGCGCCAAGGCTTGTGGCTTGTCGCGGCGACAACACCCATGAATTTTCTCCCACGTTTCACATCAATATTTGGAACCCTTTCGCGTTGAAAACCGTTGTTTTTGGGGGGGAAGGATGAAGAAAGTCCGCCCGTCGTGCGCGGCGTCGCCGCCACCGGCGTCGTCCTCCAGGTGCTGCGGCTCCTCACGTCCGTCGTGCGCAGCTCGGAGGTCCAGCTGGACACGCAGCGAGATCCGTCGGCGTCGTGCGCGCCGAAGTGGCTTGGAGCAAGGGCGAGGGTGATGACATGGGTCGACATGTGGGGAAAGAGATCGCTTGAAAAACTCACTGAAGCACTGATGTCTCATGAACCACTCGGTATCTTAAGCACTTGAACCGTTTGTGTTTCTTCTTGGTAAAGGATCTCAATTGTCACATTGGAATCGGAACAACCATGTGTTTCTGATTGTTTAGGTGTCCAGGAACAAGAAAAACCACTAAGGAATCAGAGATTGAAGCTTTGCACGTCCCCCTTTACGTTCGTCTCTAATTCTTCCTTGAGTTCGGCAGCTTCCATGGTCCACGTGTGCCGTGCCCATGTCAGGTACCGCTTCACACGTGGAATCCCACAGGGCAGTCACTTTTCGCCCTTCTTGTGTGCCTTCGGAGTCGCAGACAGTATACGCTTTTGATGGATGCGGCATCGCGTATACTTCGATGTCCCGATCCGCCGAGATCTGCAGCGCACCAAATCGCCTGCCTCCCAGGTGCGCTTCACATGAGTTCGGGCGACGCGCAGCTACCAGCAGAGGTGCTGGAGAGCTTGCGATCTCACCGAAGTGCGTTGGTGCGTTTGGTGGACGACTTCCTCTTCATCTCCACCGATGCAGCCAGATGCTGTGAATCTCAGTGAAGTGAAATGGAGACATCATATATACATCTCTGTTGGGAATGTGGAAGAGATCAACCTGCTGCGGAACCATCCATAGGGTCAACAGCGGCTGGAGGGTTTCGGCTGCTGTGGATGGGTTTTTCAGGGGTCTGGAAAACGGTATCCACAGGTGCCTGCTGTGAACCATGAAGAAAAGGGAACACAACTCTGATTTCGAGGACCTCTTCGATGCGACCTCTGAGACCAGTCGCAGTTTGGACGCTTCACCCACCATCTTGAAAGATATAACCCATAACGGATCAAACTCCAAAATTCACCACTGAACCATCCCTCATGCCCCGGACCCCCTCCCCCTCCCTGCAAGCCGCCCCCGGATTCCACCATCCCTGCTCCGCTCGAGGACTTCCTCTCCTGCCTGGCGCAGCCCGGCAATCCCTACGGCGGCGACCTGAACCGCCGCAAGGTCGCGGCCAACTTCCGGCTCCTCGACCACCCCAACACCGACGGACGCCCGCGCTTCCGCGCAGCAGGCGCGTCTGATCCGCGCGGTGCGTCTGCCCCGGTCGGTGGGTTCTTCGGGCGGGTCGCTCCAGGTTGGAGACCAACACCTGAACCGCACGAAGCGCCGGAATCTGTCACGGGTTCCAGTTCCTACATTATACGGTTGTCCCAGATTTGCAGCATGAGGCAGGTTCTGAGGCAGATGTTGTGCCAGGAATTACCAAGTTCATGCGATTTCAACCGGTCTTACCCAAACACCATGTACACGCAAGTATGGCAGAACGTTGGGTCATTTGGGGGCATTTGGCATTTGTTGCAACTCACAACCATGTCCAATACTACAAGCGAAGAACGTGTGGAAGAACCGTTTCCCCCTCCTGAAACCACGATGCCTCGCATCCGTATGCAAGGCGCCGTCACGGTCGTCAGGCGGCCTGACTTGCAGAGAATTTCATCCCTCCCAAGTCACATGGAAGTGCACCTGGTGTCACCCTCCTGCACCCTCCTGCACCTGGTGTCCTCATGAGTTCACCCTCCTGCACTTGCGTGTCCGGTGTCGATGGTGCGTGTCCGGACCCTACTGTTCTTGGACCCCATGCTTTCGCGCCAGGTCCGAAGCGACGTCGAGTGGACGCCGCCCTCGCGACCCCGCGATCGGTGGAAGCCACTGGAGCGAGAAACTCCAGCGTTTTGAGAGGGGTCCCTGCCCAAAAAATGTATCAGAAAGTCAAGGAGCCTCAGTAGTTTTATGTGCGTAAATAGAATGAACACATATGGCATGACCTTTTTTTGAGACGAAACATTACGAAACATAAAAACATATACGGCCCATTATTTGGCCTTTGCTTTGATAGGAAACAGCCATGTTTGGGGTAATTGATGATTCAGGATAGGTGTCAATACCAAACTCAGGTTAAAAGGTTGTATTTATATTTCTGTATGAAGAAGAAGAAGACGAAGAAGACGATGGCCTCCAACCTAGCGATGGCCTCCAGCCAAGAAGAAGAAGAGGGAACACTCATGTTTTTCTATGGGTCTCTACCCGTGGCCTTACATGTTGCCCAGGTACCTTGGGCAGGTTTGACCCTTACCCCGGAGCATGGCTTGATCAACCTGCGCCAGAACACTCAGCGGCGCGTGTGCGACGCGCTGGCGGTGCGGAAGGTGAGGAAGGTGGCGGGCGGGCGCGTGGGTCTCGGCCGCGTGTGGGAAAACACGATCCGAAGCAAGTTGCTGATCTTCCTGAAGATGAGACTTGGATCAATCAGAAACAAATCGTTGCAATGTGGCACTTGAGATCCTTTAAAGCGGGCAGGACTGGAGAAGACATCCAGACTTGTTTCTGTTGGGCACCGGGGGTTCCAGGAAAAACTGAGGATATGAGGAGACGTTCGGTCCCCAGTTCCATCCGAGGAAGCTGACTCCGCTACTGCTGGATCCGCGGCTGAACAGTCACTCAGAAAGCAAACAGTTGGGTTGGGTGGACTTATTTGAACCGCTTGAACAGGATGATTGGAGGTGTCATCAGTCACTTGGGGTGAGAACATCTCTATCTCAAGTTCCCTCTAAAGACATGTCGAAGATCATCGAAGAGTATGAGCATCAAGATGGTCAAGATGCATTAAGTGTTCTTAGTTGGCAACTTCACTTTGGCTTTCAATGTCAGTCTGTTACTGTTGTTTGTTCCCTCAAAAGAAACACTTCATGACCACCAAAACCCTCATCCCTCCCCACCAAACAACCCCTCCACGCCCCTCATCCGCTGCAGGCGACGCCTGCGTGCAGAGCAGCCTCGCGCGCCTCACGCGCTGCATCGCCTGGCGCTTCGCGTGGCTCTTGACGCAGGGCGCTCCACGACGCTTGCCGCACGTGACGCCGAGCTACGTAACGCGGCAAACGAAGCGCCTGGTGCGCTACGCCGCGCAGCGGGCAGAGGTGGTGCGAGACAGCGGCGCGGCAGCAAGGAGTTTGGGAGGGGAAGAACACCACTGCAAACCCTTGCGTGTTGGGTGTTTTGGGTGTGTTTTTCTTGTGTGATGTTCATTGTTTGTTTGTTGCACGCAAGGAAGGTGCAAAGGTTGAGGGAGAGTGGGATTGAAGGAATTTTGGTGGATGGGTGTTGCCCTGCTGCAGATGAACTTGGATTCCCAAAAGGGAGTGGGTGGGTGTTCATATTTGGAAAAGGGATGAAAAGGGCACCCGTTGGTCCAACGGTCTTGGGGTCAAACGTTGGATGTGAAACGATTGATCTGGGGTGCCGATCGGTGTTTCCTGCTTCTTGTAGGTGATTGATGGGCTATGTTTGATGGGCTTTTGGAAGGTGAACCATCACCGTGTCGAGGATCATATCCTGAAAGCCACAGCAAGGCTTTCTTGTTCGTCTCCCAAAGAGAGCGAGACGTTTTCGTATCACGTCACTTGATTGAGTCCCGATTAGGCCAAATCTTGTGACCCGATTAGGACACATACGCAGGGTTCAAGTGAACAACCTGCCCAACCTTTTTTGGGGAGTGGTGGCACCCCACTAAACAAAAACGTGCAAAAAAAGCTTAACCATGGTTAACCTGTATCTTCCAAAGAAGCTGAAGGAGGCAGATACGAGGGACGCATGGAGTACTTGGAAGTAGGAAATCTCAGTCACATCAGTTTAGCTTTATGTTTCACTGTGGCTCTGTGGCTCCAGCGAATAATGCCCCCGCCCCCCGCTTCTGAAACCGCAGAGATGCAGGTTACGGCTGTGTCTGGCAACGTGGTTGCTCAGCTTGATGAGGATGAGCTGCATTACATGGTGGAAAGCGGGCAAGCTGTTCGAGACCTCAAGCGACGTCTTTCAGCTCAGGTTGGGTGCTCAAGGTTTCAGCAAAGACTCTTCAGGGACGAGATTGGCGAATTGGAGGATGACTTGCCTGTACGAACACTATCAAGTGTACGGGTGGTAATTCTGCCCTTGTGTGCCTTGTGTGCCCCTGATGAGACCATGGAAGAAAAACTATTCGAGACCTGCAGGGAGAATCGCGTGGATAACCTTGAAAGGCTGCTTTAATAACCACTGGACCCCAACGGGGAAGGTTTGCTTCTTATTGCTGCCGAGGAAGGTCACTTGGAAGTTGTGCGATTGTTGCTCGAGACAAGAGCTGACGCAGGTGCAGCAGATGTAAATGGTGCAACCAGTTAGAACTTCTACGATTGCTGCTTGATGCTGGGGCGGACCAAGATGCAGCAACATTTGTTGGGACGGCTTTGATTACTGCAGCTTATTATGGCCACCAGGACGTTGTTTGATTGTTGCTCGAGGCAGGAGCTGACACAGGTGCAGCAGATGCACATGAGGCAACAGCTTGCGCATGGCAGCGCGGAACGGCCACCAGGAAGTTGTGCGATTGTTGATGTACAGCTACTACTATGCCATACGTAACTATTTGTCACGTATAGTGTCAATCCAGGGGAGGTAATTGCTGGGTTCAGAATCTTTGATTGATGTTCAAAGTGCTATGACTCGTCTTCCGCAAGTTTGCTGCACAAAAAGACCAGCGCAGCAGGCCGCAGAGTTGTGTGAGCCCGATTGGAAGAAGATCTGGCAACGGAACCAGAAGTGGAACCAGATGGAACCCGGTTTTTCTCGTTCGGTCTGTCGGGTTTGCTCGTGGTTTGCCTGGAACCACGGGAAAACCCATGATCTCCAAACAGAAACCCTGGGCTTCCTGGGCCCACCATTTAATAGGTGGGTCATCCCGAACCATCATTGCTTTATGCTTTAAGCACCACCAAAACCCAGGAGTCGTTCCCTTCCTTTTTCATGGTCAGAAACGGACGTTGGACGGAAAGGGATTCGTTTCCGGAATGTTCAGCACTCCATCTCGGTGCCATCTCGGTGCTGTGCTGTGCTGAAAAACCCTTTGGGTTCACAGATGCAGACGATTTCTCGGTTTCGAAGGTGGAAACAACTGATTTTTGAAGGATTTCATTCGAAAGGCATGCCTCTTACCTATATAGAAGTTATTCTACGTTTTGTTTGAGAGGATGGAAGTTTGGATGACTTACCCAATACACACCACACCCACGCAAGTGCCTCAGAACCCCAACCGGTGTCACCAGTGGTAGCACTTCTTGCTTTCTTACTGTGCTCTTAGATTCCTATCAACATCAGGAAAACGTTCCTCCCAAACGCTCCAAACAGCCCTTGGTCCCTCAAAGCCTATGGATTTGAGACCCCAGACCCCTCTATATGAGGGCCCAGGGTCACGTCTGGGCTGGACCTTTCAAGGGGCCAATGGAGATCTCTCAAATAGTGTGTGGGCTTTCATTGGTGGAGGGTGCTGTTGAGGTGTCTCAGATGCCCCCTCGGCGAAGCTCCACGCACGTTGGGTGGTGCTGGACGCCTTTCACCACGCCTGGCGCCCGCGCCGGCGCCGGACGCTCTTCCGCGGCGCCACGGACTTCCTGCGCCGCGCGCGCGGCGCGGAGCGGCGGCAGCGCGACCGTCCAGCGGTCGGGTGAAGGGCCGTGCCAGTAGGCCGTGAACTGTGCGAAGGAGTGCCACTCGACTCGTTGGTGTTCAGTGTTCTCCATCACGACACGAAGGAAGTCGCGGAAAGGATCTGAAGACTCTGACGGTGCACTCGACTCGTTGGTCCCCACTGGGCAGCTGCAGTGACCAGAACCGACAGCGGGAGCCCAACACAGACGGCCACACAGAAGCGGCCGGCAAGCTGCGAAATGCCGTGGTGAACGAGTCGAACTGAGAAGGCTCAGGGGAGCCACTTCTGGCTTCCCCAACGCTATGCGCGAGAAAGAACTGAGGCGAGTGAGTGAAGTGAAGTGAAAGTGAGGACTGTGTCCAGTGACTTTCCGTGACCCATTTTGGAGGTCGAGTCGGCGGCAACGCCACAACCAGAATCTCCCTCTTTTGGCCATGGTGGCACAGCATGGCGCCGGAAGAGCCGCGGGAGATTCCGCGAGTGGACCTAAAACGTGCGCGCGTGCGCGTCGCGCCGCCTTAGCTCGAGCACGGCCGGAGCACCGGAGCACGACCGGAGCGGGACGTGGGACGTGGTAGGTGAAAATGATTGAAGATATGTGGTGTCGGAAAGAGGCGCGGGATCGTTGACCACATGAGCATTCTGACACCACATTGATGACCATGGATGACCTGATCATCATCGGCAACCTTGTAGGCAACCTGAGACGGCGTACCTTGTGCCCCTGTGTTTTCTGGACTAAAAAGAGCCTGAAGCCCCTTGGGGTGATGCTCATGTTCAGATACGACCATCTGCAACAAAAACCCTTTAGCCTGACTGCCTGTAGAAGAGCTCTGGAATCACCTGCCCAAACCCCTTGTTTGATCTTTTTTCTGGGGGATTGGTGTCCTCACAATCCCAACACCCAGACGCGACCCCCCAAAAATCATACCCGAATCCCAATGGAGATGCAAAAAAAGAACGAATTTTCGGGTCAGGGACGGTTCTCACCAATCTCCCTGAGTTTGGAGGCACCAGTCGAACGGAGCGGAGCGGTGCTCTCGGTCACCCCGGCGTCTCGGTCGTCTCGGTCCACATCCGCTCAAAGGTCGGAGGAGGTCCAGGGGGAGAATTGGGATGCAACCTCCAATGAAAATAGAGCGGGAAAAACACAGAACAATAATTGAACAAGTTGTGCCAGATTCAAATAGAGGATTTCCATCACTCATCCTCCAATTTATGATAGATTCCAAGCACCGCTGACGTGTGGAAGCGGCCAGGTTTCGTGGATGGCCCCAGCTTATCTTCCTTCTTCCGACACCGAAACAGCAGCTATTGGACCTGGGTCTTGCTACTCGAACATCCGAAATGAACACGTTGCTTGGGGTCAAACCAGTGGTCAAACCCACGTGTCCAAGTTGGAATCCGGCCTTAAAAGCTGCCCAACCACCTCGAGCCGTCGCAGGGATGGCGCAGGGATGTCACAGGGTCCAACCGATCTCGGCAGGATGGACCACGTGGTGTCCTGCGTGGTGGACCTGTCGTGGGAGGGCTTGGAAGACGGAGACGGGCGTGCGGCCGCCATGGCCTTTGGGGATCAGGGACGAGCCGTTTCACCCAACCCCGAGTGAGTGACCGCAAGCGGTGGATCACCGCAACCACCCCAAGGGGTCAAGGGTCCTGGAGGCGTCATGAGTGGGTTCTAGGGAGATGGATGAGAGATACGTAGAAAAAGAGAGAGAGAGAGTCCTCCATCTCCCCTTCCTTCCGAAAACCAACAGAGGTTGAGTGACCTTATAGGACCCTACAGGGGTACCTATAGGATAGTCGAATAGTCGGGTTCTTCAACCTCTGCAAATGCCGAAGAATAAACGATGAGTGCCCAACAAACAGCGATGTTGGTCGGTCCACAGGGCACCACCCGGTCTAAGAGCTTTGTCCCAAAGGCCCGTGTGAACGGACCCCCATGGCCCGTGCGCCAGGCGGCAAGGCGGCACCGATTCCGCTCAGGCTCCGCACCTACCGTGCCTGCATGCCCAACTCCTTGGCTGCCAAGGGTTTGCAAAAGTACGAAAGCCCAGTGGTGGAGCGCGCAGAGTCGGGTCGAGAACAGGAGCGCGCTGCATCTGTCCTGGGTGTCTTGGTTCAAAAAAACTGGACGTTCAACTGAAGAAGAACAAACGCTGCATCAGCTTTGGGCTAAGCCGCATCTGGTTTCGCTCTGCATGGGCTTTTCATCGGTCGTCCTCCTGGGGAACGGCAGGGCTAACAGACACATCCGTCCACCCGTGCAGGTTGCTCTTCGGTTTGGGCTACAGCATCAAGAAGGGCGACCTCGCAGGAATCCCGTGGAAGGACACCGAAAAAGAAGCGCCTTGAGCAACAGCGGGTCACCGGCATGGATGTGACAGAAGACCTGGGTGAGGCGGTAGATTGAGGCTCTATGCGTATACCCCTGAGAGTCCAAGATTGTTCATCAAATGAGCTGTATAGGTGACCCGAGTTCAGGGACTTCCTTTACTTCAACGAGTCAAAATACCGTCGAACTGCACCTTCTACCGGGGCCCCCTGTTTGGGGTGCTTAATGGACGTCCCCGAACCCCTAAGGAGCTATAATTGGACACCCCTGGCCCGGGGGCCCTGGTATAGGCTGTCATGACTTTCTCGAGATCCGGCTGTGAAGACGGGTTGACGAAGACCCCCTGCGGCCGGGTGACGAAGACCCCCTGCGAGCTGGGTCGGCCTCAGACGGGAGGAACTTGTTGTTTGTTCATGAGATCCGCAGATGAGCCAACAGAGGTTGAAGAACCCTAGTTCGACTATCCCAGTTGGGTACCCCAGTAAGGCCCTATAAGGTCACTTAACCTCTCTTGGAGCTACCGTATACGGGGCACCTGTCGCACTTCCTCGAAACCGATGGCTGTCGGGCCTGTCTGCGTCAGACCGGACCATCGGAAACCTGTAGAGGGAAAGGCATGCAAGAATTGAACCCATCCACCGGGCACTGAAACAATCAAATACCCTTCCTTGGTTGACTTCCCGTTCGCCAGACCGGGAATAACCATTTAAAAAAAGATGGGAATGACCTGGTGGTGGTGCAGTGTATAAATCCGTATCAACAATGCTTCGGAATGAAAAGACCATGAACAACAGATGGTTGGGCCACGAACAATATCTATAGGCCTATATAGATGCCAATAGTGTTTTCCTTCCCCTTTTGGGCGGTTCACCATTCCATTGTGCTTTTTGGGAGATTGAGACTCGTCTGTCTCGCACGCAGGACTGGCGCGCCTTTGAACCTGATGAGCAGGCGTTTGGCTCTGCGAAGATGGCGGGAGGAGTGATGGCGGGTGAAGAAACCCGAAGAAAAACTCACCATACCAATACCCTAGAAGTCCAGTTCGACTATATTTTGACCGGCTGAAGTAAAGGAAGTTCCCTGACTCAGGTCCCTTAAAGACCATTCTTTTTATAGTCTTTGACTCACCATACCAATACCTGGACCAATACTTTGGTGCTTCCAAGACCTGAACCGTTCCCTCACCTGGTCCCGGGATTCGAAGCGAAGTGGGATCAATGTATGGCACGGACGTCCACCGGATGTATACCAGCTGCTTCCTTGGTTACCTGGCTGGACAACCCTTCGATGCTGAGGCTTGGTCACCAGGACACCCGAGACAGGAAGCAGCGCTACGTAGGTACGGGTTTGAATGGATGCCACCAGCAGGGTGGCGCCGTGTGGAGGTTTCTTCAAGAAAGGCTTCTCCGTTGTTCGCCGTTTTGCGGCCCAGCCGAGACCCGAGACCCGAAATCGTTTGGCAGGGAAGGTTCCCCCAAGCAGTGTGGGGCGAATCCTGCGGTTTCATGGTGTTTCTGCCTCTTCCTCCCCCACCCGGCACTCCTCGAAGCACCAATCGGACGTCGAAAGAGTTCGAGTGAACTACATCACCCGTGTCCCCGTGTTGACTAAAGCGTCCGCTCGCTCCGCTCGACTCGTCGCGATGGGAGCGTGCGCGCCCGCGGTTCGTCGCGGTTCGTCCGGTCAGGCCTTCCATAAGGACACGGGCTACTTGAAAGCGCTCCTGGCGGCCGCCTTCTCCGACCAACTCCTCCTAGGCCGTTTCGCGACAAACGAAGCGCCATGTGTTTCTAGCCGGACAGGGGGGGTAGGGGGAAGTTTCTTGCGCGAGCGCCAGCGTGGTTCGGAGAGGTCGTTCTTCTGGTCCAAAAGCTGCACAGGTCGTTCTTGTGTCCTTTTTGGTGGTTGTGCGTCAAGTTGGACTGTAGCTGTTCTGGGAACTTCACCCAGAGGCGAGGCGAAGCGAACCGTCGGACGTGTCACTGGGCCGATGTCATTGTGGCGAAGCTTGGCCATTCATGGGTTCAATCCCGAAGAAACAGACGATGACCGACGGATTGGTTTTTGGGCGGTACAAGGTATAAATCCATGTAATCTGATTTGTTTCAAAAATGAGGTTAGTATGGGTTAGTATTTGTCCGCTCCAGCCTATTGAGTTTTATTGGTGGGAATGTCCAATAAAATGGTGTAATATGTTGACAGGTCTATGGTCCATCATCCAACGGGAAGCCGGCGGTAAGCCGGGCGGTCGAGGGGTGGGTCTTGGGGCAGCCCAAGACCCAGGAGTCGTGGCTCAAGCATTTGTTATATAAGGGTCTTTCCCTTCTAAAGAGCCATTGTCAAATTAAAGGATCTTCGCAATACACCGCCAGGTGTAGTATAACGGTAGTTTTGTATAACTAAGAGCCTTAAGAGCCATTGTTATTCGACCAACACTACACCACCAGGTCATTCCCCTTCTCTTTTAAATGGTCATTTCCGGTCTGGCGAACGGGACACCTCTTCTCCACTCGGCAGGTGCCTATGGCGTCGTGAAGAAGGAGCTCGACTTGAACGGAACGTCCCTCGGACAGCGGCCGACGAACGGTCCGCGGCCGGTCGAAGCCGGTCTCACGTCCCGTCGAGCACGGCCTCGCGACGAACGGAGGCTTAGTTGTCCGCGACGAACCAGGGGTGTTTGGGGCTTTTTGGAGCTAGGGCGGGAGCTAGGAAGCTACCAAACCTCGGTGCAGGCTGGGGAGCGCGAAGCTCCGCCATTGACCGGTGGCTCCGCCGGTGTCCAGCTCTCCCGCTCGCTTCGCACGCGACGGTGCACGGTGCACGGACGTTGCACGTCGTTCGCCCCCCCCAAAAGGAGCCATACCAACAAAGAAAATGCACGTGTCGATGGCGTGTCTGTCGAAGTCGGGTGATGATTCTTGTTTCTGCACGCCATGTGCATCCCTTGTTTTCTGCCCATAGGGGAAGATGTTGTGAGCTTTTGGAAACCATCGACCTTCGCCCTAAGTCACTCCTTCGACCTTCGCCCATCGACCTGTTCCGTTCCGCGCAGAGTTCCGTTCGCCGGCTTCCGAGGGTGGCGAAGAAGCAGCTCGAAGGATTCGAGGCCTGCGAGGGGGGGGGAGTGGGTCGGTCTGTCGGGAGATCGAACCGCGTCGTTGGCTGGTGGTGGTTTTTGGTTCCCCCGGGCACCACGGTGTGGACACACCCCCCCAAATGGGGTAGTTCTGTTGTGGACACACCGGTGTGAGAAATTGCTAGTTGTTAGACCTCACACTGGAAATGCCGTCTCACACCGGGATCCTGTCGGTTGATCACCGTCAGTGTGGCTCGTCCCATCCAGTGGATGTGGTGTAGCACCCCAACGCTCGCTCCATGGATAGCACCCCTAACCTGGTGACTGCCGGGGGAAGTATCTGTTTCTTTGGGCTTTTTCTTGCATCAGTTCTTGCATCCTCCAAGGCCAAATCGATGTGTTGCTAGAGAGCCCGAACGCCGTTCTTGCCGGTTCCAAGTGGGAAAGGAGGAGACCCGGGATCCAGTCTGCACATATGTTTAGTAACATGTTCATTAGTATTGTATTACCAGGACGTTCCAAGAGGTGTCTATACAAAGTTAGCATCGATTCGAGGTGATTCGGGTGTCCAAAAGACCACCGGACAAACGGAAGGTGATGTAACTCTTGCAGTCTGGTTTGGGCCTGACATGATGCTTGCAAAGATGGGGACCAGAGGAACTCCAGGATTTTTCAGACTCGGCTTTGCTTGCCCTCTATCGGGCAGACACGGATGCTTGACCGAGGTTTCTTGTGCTTCTGCAGTCGTTCCTGTAGTCCTCTTAGGAACATCCTTGGACTATAGATCGTTCTTAAACTCAAAACCCTCCCCCCTTCCTCCCAATCTTCCATATCCACACAAAAGAGAAAACGCATGAGTCCGGGGTGGCTTCTTCCTCAAGACCCTTCTTCGTCGTCAGGTCTTGCAGAAGTTGATGAAGAAACACCACCTCTCCGAGCGCGAGCCATGCGGCCCAGAACTGGGGCCGCCAGACCTGGTGTAGGAGTGGCCGCCATGAGAAGGCGCCATTAAGGGGAGCCCTGAGCGCAGTGGGTTCCACTTTTGACGCACCTGGTAGTTCCAAGGCCCCTTCAAAAGACCACGACCGCTTGCACTGGCGATCGTTTGGAGGTCGAGCATCGTGTCGCCTTCGATTGGTCGACGCAACGTGTGAAGTGTACCCAGACCGACACCGTGACGAACGACGAACGTGAACTACTCCACCTGGTGGTCACTCCATCCACCACCAGGCTGGGGTAGTTCACGAGTCAAAACTCTCAAGGGCTGAGGGCTCCAGCCACACCGCTGGACACCGCGCGGACACGGACGAGACCGGAACCTGAGTTCACCACGCCGCGATCGTCTTCCGTCGTCTGGTCGCCAAGACCGTTCCTTTACGGATGTACGTCTTCGCACGTGAACTCCCAGAGGTGGGTCAGAAGCCGACTGTTCGACTATCCCAGTTGGGTACCCCAGGTTACGGTCCTAGTTCAGGTCATTGAAGTTGTCCTCTCTTGCTTTCTGTTGTGCACGTGTCGTTCGTTTCTGAGGACCATGGTCTTTGCCAAAGGAGCCGTGGAGGAGCGTCCGCTGTCACGGTCTTCTCAGTCGAGTCGAGGTGTCGCGAGGTTCAGAGCGGTTTCCGGAGGTTTCTGTGGGGTTTCACCATTCACCTAGAACCCAGACAGAAGGAAACCCCTGTGTTGGGAAGTTGGAACATTTTGGAGGTGCTTGCTGATCCCGTCCGCTCAGTGAGGTTCGGAACGGCACAGACTCTGGACGTTGTTGCGCTAAGCCGCTTCGGCGTGGGGAGCGGCGACGGTACACGGTTTTGCACGGTTTCCGCGGTGTTGGACGAGAAGCGTCGGTTTGTTCTGCACGGTTTGGGCTCAAATGAGCTCCGGCGTTTTTGTTCATGAGGCACGACGGGCACTGCTAGTGACTTAACGTCGTGATACCTGAAATTTTCAGTGTGCTCAGTGCGTGCCATGGGCTGCGCAGCTAGTGTTCAGACGAACACAGACTTCTCAAGGGTATGTCCTTGTGATGAAGCTGCATGCACCACAGACCGGAGCTCTGACCGGGACACTCAATGCCAACCGGAGCCCCGACCTCTTTCAGCCTCCGCAGCTTCTGAACGCGAAGTACTTCGATTGTTCAAGATCGATCTGCAGATCCAAGAAGAGGACCAACTTGACTTGGATGCCTGGTTTTGCTTCATGAAGGCGAGTTTTTTTATGTGTCCCATATAATGGTTAAATCCATTTCTAGCTATGTGTTACTATGCTTTACTTTTGTCCAGCTTGGGCGCCGCCAAAATCCCAGGATGATTCCGACTTGGCCATCTACAAGTCCTGCGAGATCCCGAAGCAGCCAGCTCCTCGCCATCAGCCCCTTCCTCCCGGGCGTGAGGACCATCTGGCGAACACCCGGCGGGTGGCGCGCTTTGCGGCATTGGCTGTGAGGCATCCCAGGCTCTTCAGAGAACGCGTGGGCAGAGCGGAAGAAGAGGAATAGACCCGAAGAATGCGATGCCACGCTGGACTCTTCAACCTATGGAGGGGACCCTCATTGAGTTCTACAAGGATCTTCAAATCCCTAGGCTTGAGGCACCAGTCCGGCAAAGAGAATGCCTTCTAGCTCGTCGGGTTCACTGCGGAACCGCTTCTTCGCGAAGCACGGCACCGCTTCCGCCTGCGAACTGAAGCACATTTTGCCATGTTTCACCTGCTTTCTTTTCTGTCATGAGCACCTCTTGTGACGCATTCAATCCGAGGTTACTGAGGATCTTTGAGCTTGCAACCGGGTAAGGAACCCTTGCTTGTTCAGAGTTCCCCTCTTTTTAATGGAAGGTCAAGATGGCGCATGCGCAACCCCAGGAAATGTCAAACTCTGGCAATCATAATTACTCTACTCTCTAGCAAGATATCAATGCTGAAGGGGTGTAGGGCTAGTTGAGGCAACGGAGACTTGGGAGAACAACAACCATGGACGCTTGAGTCGAAGCGTTTCTGACCTTCCAGAAGTTTTCGTCCCACTCTGGGCTGGCTTCAAGGCTTCAGCTGCGATCTTCGATCTTCTTGTGCCCCGTAAAAAAGAAGACACTCCCACTCACCCAGACAGAACGTGGAAGACACCCGGTAGTCTTTGTGAAGGACGGTAGTGCAATCCACTTCCAGCATGGGCCGACCGTCGGTGGGCCGAAGACGTCTCAACGCCGTGGAACCGGATCTTCTCAAACCGGTGGAGGGTGGGGGGTGAAGGTTTACTAAAATCGGTGTTTAAATAGGTTTGGTGGGGTTTGGTTTTTTGGGGGGTGAGGGGTTTTCATATGCGTGTGTATTAAAATGGGGAGACCGAACCGCCGGCAACCCCGTGGACGGTTCGGGAACTAGCCCCAGACATTCCCAGACCTATCTACATCTCCTTGGTAGAGGGCTTCCCTATTCCAATACAAGCCCACATGTTTCCTACCAGCACCCGAACACAGGAGGTGTCCATCACAAGCCTCAAAAAAGAGGTGATTCGGGGTGTCCCAAAAAACCCAAGGTTTGGTTCGGGTCCAAGGGCCCCCTGCGGAACCTGCAGGGTCACCCTCCAGTTCAGAGGGTCCAAGGATTCTTAGGGTGGTTCATTTCTTCAGTTCAGTCATCGCATGGGGATGACGTGGCTCGTGTCGCCCAAAAGGTCACGACGGCGAAGGCTGCGCAGCGGACACCTCTTCGTGTCGTGTCGTGTTCAGGATGCGGGGGCCTACGTGGAGTTCGTGTGTGGCAGTCGACCACGTCAAGTGATCAAAGAAGAGGCGAGAGGTGCTGCCAACAGAGGTAGCCAGTGACCTGAACTAGGACCGTAACCTGGGGTACCCAACTGGGATAGTCGAACTAGGGTCATTCAACCTCTGTTGCTGAAGAAGGGAAGCGCGGAACGTGGAGATGAAAGGATCACAAGAATGACAAAAGACCGGTGGATTGTTGGGACGATCGTTCGATGAAACGTGGAATAGACCAAAGGGGTTCCAAAATAGACCAAAGACGACCTTTCTTTCTTGCTTGGCAGAGTTCGGACAGGGGTCATAAAAGAGGATTTCATAAGTCTGTTCTACATGAGGATGAGTGTGCTGTAAAGGACTTTGGGACTCGGGGATTCAGAAGATGAGGTCTCACCATGCACCAAGAATGGTTGTTTTTGGTAGCTTGAGCTCTAGATGAAGCGGGTTTTCTTGGAGGTTACAGAAACCTGGTGATCTCTTCCAACCTCAGAGCTCCAGAAAGCTCTGCGCTCCCGTGACCAGGGCTACGTGCTGGTACAGCTGGGACTGGATGCCCAGTCCGAAGCCGCAAGGCCACGGACAGCACCGGCAGACTGAAGGACTGGAGGATGGAAGAAAACAAAGGCCATCTCTTCGAAGTGAGTTAAACGTCCTAAGAGCCGCTAAGAGCTGTTTAGTGTCGGAGATGTTGAATTTGTGCAAAAACTTGGGTGGAGCTCTTGTTTCTGTGTAGACACGTGTAGATTCATGTCTGTGTTTTTCTTATTGTGGCTGGATGATTGTAAGGAGGGGGGGTCATCACTTCGACTTCGTCCCGATACTTCGCGGCCTCGAGTATGGGAAAATCGGGCTGTGAGAGGAAAAGAGGGAGGGGGTACCTGGGGCCTGATGCCTCAAGCAGGGGGGGTCAAGCTCCACGTTGCAGAGAGAAAGCTACAGGCCTAGGCCAATGATCAGTAGCTTTATAAAGGACTAGGCTATGTGAGCCACGACGTGAGCCACCACGTCACGTGTTGGAAGATGACCGTTTTAAGGATTTCAACACCCAAACACCTGCAGTTGATGCTACAGTGGAGGCCAAGGCAGCAAGGCGCAGGGCAGTTTGCCAAGACTGCCCAGACTGCGTCGGTGAAGAGTTGTTCCGGTCTTGACTCCGGTCTTCTTGTTCCGTTCGCAGCGGTGCCAGGAGCGCCCCGTTCGTAGCGTCCGATCGCTCCGTTCGTAGCGATGCCCTTGGTGACGTTCGTAGCTTCCGATCGCTCCTAGATTTCGTCCGAGATTGGAACTCCAACTCATGAAGCGGTGAGACCCACCCTCCGGACTGTGAACAAGAGTTCTCTCTTCATCTCTAGACCTTTTTCATCTCGTTCTTTCTTTAGACAATGTCCCTCATCCCTCTGGAATAGGGTGTCTTCGCTCTGGCGGGAGTTCCGTCCAGAGCGGACCTTCTTCTCCCACTGGATTCAGTCCAAGTTCGATCGTTTGCCTGAAAGTAAACCCCAGGTCCTGTCCAGTCACGACTCATTTTGGTGGATGGATTGACAGGTGGAGTAGTTCATGTTTGTCGTTCGTCACGGAAGTGCAGCTGACGATCAGATCACAGACCTGGACCATCCGCGTAGGCTGTGGGCTGTGACCCCGGACCCCTCCACCGCACCACAGGATGGTCCTGATCTTTGACCCTTGGACTTTGACTTGACGAAAATGAACTAGTAGCTTCTTTTTACTATAGTAGTAATGGCCTCCAACCTACTAGCGATGGCCTCCAACCTAGTAGTTTCTTGTTACGTACTTCACCTGGTAGTCAATCCATCCACCACTACCAGTTCGGGGTAGTTCATTCTCGTCATGACTCACTGGACTCTCAGGGTAGACTGAACTGCACTCCTGAAAAATCATGAATTGGCACATACCCCATATTGATCCATATTGTTGCTGTTTTAGGGGTATATGGTAGGGGTATACCTCCAATCATCCTGAAAAAAGCGTCGCTGTGGCACCAGGTGGCGCAAGTTGGCTTCACTGCCTTCCGCCATGATGGCCCGGACGCCCAAAAGGCATCCATCCACTCGACCGGTTGGTGACATCGATCGATGGGACAGCCGAACGAACTTCGGAACCCCTGACGACGCCCCGAATCGGATGGTCCCAAGGTTTGGGGTCTTTCCAGGTAGACTTCTCATGGCCCCTGACCCCCAACGTGGCGGCTCCCGCCATTTCTTCTCTCGCCACGTCGTCCTTGCGCCCGGAAGACGAGGGATCCCTCCATCCGAGGTGAGCCCCGTTCGATTGCCCGCGGAGTTCAATCTGATCTCGCAATTTGAGAAGCACATGAGGGAGAGCAGCGCGAGCAGAGCATGTTAGGAGGGATATGTAATTTGATATTAATCCTATAGAAGTCATAGCAACCATTGATATTACTATATATTATTATCATATATTATCCCCTATTATATATGCAATCCTATCGGGAGCAACCATTTTTGAGGGGTCTTGGACTTCCAGGGTTCATTGAATGTTGATTCATAAAACCTCCTCCCAAAAAAGAGGATGGCTGATTCAAGACGTCTCCGGCGAGTATTCAAGATATGTCGTCAAGATGGAGGGAACAGCTAAGCCTGCCTGTAGGCAGAGTGCGGCAGAGCTCCAGAAAATCAGATTCCCCGATGATCCCCCTGACACCCAATTCGGGCAGAGCAGGTTGATCGAGGCCGCAAGGATCGGGTTCCGGACACCAAAAAGTTAAACGACCCTGGCGGAGATGTCGCACCAAAAGAACATGAAAAACAAGAAACGGCTCATGGTATCATCATGGTCTCTCATGGTTCTCCTTTTTTCGTCTTCGTCCTTGTTCTTCGCCCTTCGAGCCGCCGACCGTGGCTGCGGGCGCTCCAGGACCTGGCGCGGATCCAAGCGACGGCCGGGTGGACCTACAAACCGGCTGGGGAGTCCTGGTCCGGGAACGGACGCCGATCCAAGCGATCGGGGCAGGGCGGGTTGTTCAGTATCTAGTTTTTGGAGAGGGGGCAGAGCGTCCGTATCTAGTTTTGTTGAGAAGTCCGGCACTCATCCTGTGGGGAAGCGGTTTTGTATGTTCTTGTTGCAAGTCTTTTGATGGAAGACATGCATTTGCCTGGAATCGCTCTGGATAAATCCTACGACTGGTCTCTCCACCGGTTCGCCCGCCTGGCGCCGACCCCGACCCCGGTGGAGAGCTCTGGTTGAACCTCCTTGAGTCGGATCCCGAAGCCCAAACGGACGTATTGCTTCGAGGACGTTGAGGTCCGTTTCCGGGTCGTTCGCCACATCGCCACAGGTGACGGCCCTCCATCCGTGGGGGGCACCCGGACGGGGGGGGGAAGCGGAGTCGATACACGGAAGGACCATGCGACAAAGGAGCTACGTGGACCGGGAGCGTCTGTGTCACATGGACCCGGGGGTGTCCCAAACGTTGAAAAGACTGTCAAAAGAGAGGCGGACCGACCCACTCCGATTGGGAAAACGATGGAACCAACGGGCTTTCCCGCCAGCTTGTTGCTTTGTCACATTCATGCACGAAAAGACATGGTCAACATTCATGAAAAGCTCCATTCACATTCACCTTCCCCCCAAGAGGGTGTTGCCATGGCTTTTGCCAAGGTGGCGGTTCTCGTGGGGCCGTGGAGTTGGTTGGGTGTTTTTTTTTTTCTCTTCGAATTCCTTTCGCCACACCATTCCATTTTGGCGGGTCATCCCAAAGCACTAGATATGTGTGTTTTTTTGAAAGGGGTTTGTACTCTACGATGTTCCTTCCTTTCTTTCTTTCTGTCTTTCTTTCTCTTTGGCCTTGGCAGGTCTAGCCTGTGGCAAGTGCATGTGTTCATGTTCCCGACAGCCTTTGGCCTTTGGCCGCCGAACGGCTCCCTCACTTGGGGCGTCCCGCGGCGAGTCGGCGAGGCGAACGCGGCACGCGTCGAAGGGTTCGGAACCGGCGGCTGGCGGTGGCGGTGGCGGTGGGCCATGGAAGGTCCTTTCTGTCCTTTCAAGGACCAGGAAGCAGATGGCTGAAACAGAAATCTCACCTCAGGTCTTCTCTCCTCAGGTCAGGTCTTTTCTTCGTGGGCTCTGAGGTGGTTGACGATCTCTCACAGAAATCCCACCTACTCGGAGCGAATGATGATCGTTGGGCATTCGATCGGCCGAGGCATTTCCTCAAATGGGAGTGGATGGAGCCGCTCTTTACGGCCAAGGGCCAGTCGGGGCCGCCGAAACGGCTTGGGGAGCGGGGTTGGCGACCGTTGCGCGCAGGGGCGGTTTGAGCGGTTCCTGAAGTTCCACCGAGAGTGAGGGTCGTTTGGAACCAAAGCTGCTACCACGAGACGTCGGAGCGCGAAGGTTCTCATCATCGGTGATGGAGGTACCTGGCGGGCAGAAGGCGAAGCCAGCAAGAACCTGTACCTAACTGCCAGCCAAGCGATGGACCTGAATAGCATATTGGTGGGAGTCCAAGACCTGACGAACAGAACTTCCTTGTACTTCAGTCAGTCAAATGTTAGTCATTGAACGGACATGACTGCAATCATGGGGCCACCAAGATGGCCCTCACAATGTTTGGGACTCATCTTCCCACATTGGTCCTGAGAAAAAATAACATCAGTTGGTTCCTCTCTCCTACTTTGCTAGCCAACCAACAACCTTGGTGGTTCTTTTCTTTCTTTGCGTCAACCAAACTCATGTCTTTTGGTTTTGAGTCCATCTCCCCAACTTCCTCCACCTCGTCCACTTCACCGGCCGCGGCCGCCGCTCCGCCCCGAGGCCCTTGCGCTGCGAAGGAATGCTGGAGAAGAAGAACTCCGTGGGGTCCGGGGCACCACCGTCGCGAGCGGCGAGCGAGCCCGGGTGTTTGGGGTGGGAGGGGAGGGGCAGGGCCCAAGGGGGGTTTTGGCCGAAGAGGTGTGTGTTTTTGTTGTGACGAGGGGAGGAACAGACATCCCTCAAATGGAAGTGGTTCGAGAATGAGATCATGAGATGCATATTTTGAGATCCATGTTTGTTGTGAGTGATGATGTCGATGTGTCCAAAGCTGCCAGCGCTGGGCTCCAGGGCAGCGTGCTTGCATTCATGTGGATCATTCGTATCGTGGCCCAGAACAGGTAGCTCAGCTTAGGCAGCTCACCAAAGCAAGCCAACCCGATTGGCGTCAGCCTGCTTGCTCTCACCTGTCGTTGAATCCCTGCCAGCCATCACAGCGTCAAAGGCTCCAAAGGCTTTGAGATTTAGATGTAGTGTCAAACCCATTCAACCCCTACAGCTTTGGACAGTAGCCCTAAGGCTTTGAACAGGCAGCCAAAAGGCATGGTTCGGAGATGGTGCTGTTTCTGTCAGATGCCTTGCCTACTTGGGCAACCACCAAGTACGAGCGAAGTTTGCTAGCCGAGCACATTGCTCAAGCTATCACGCACCGATCCGAACTCAGGGTGCTGGCCTACGTTCAGCCCTTGACAGAGGTGTGGGTTCATCCGACGTCGTTCACAACGAAACCAGGAGGTGCGGAATCCTCCCAAAGCCGGAAGGAGGGAAAAGAGCTTCGACCCCCATGTCACTGCTTCGCTCTAATTCGGAGTGTTCTAAGAGCTTCTGAGTTACTATAAAGGTGAAACGAGTTCCCTCTCGGAAGCTTCTAGCTAGTAGCGATGGCCTCCACCGAATAGCGTCCTTGCTACTAGCTTGTTCTTCCTGAGCTCCGCGGGCCTGGCGCGCGCGTTCGTCCAGGGGCACCTGAAACCGGTGGCCTCCTTCGCCGTGGCGGCCAATGTCGGGGCGCCGACCGGTGGGCCGGAAATGGAGTGAGGGCTGGTAGATGTGTGAGGCATCATACTCCGTGACCGACCAAAAAAGACACGACGTTCCAAAGGTTCTTTGGTCCGTTGAGTGGAATTCTGGTGCGGCTTTGGGGGAATCCGAAACCCCAAAACCCACGACGGACGCACTGAGCGGAAGTTTCTCCGCTCGCCCGAACCCCAAAGCCAATGGCTTGGGCTGGAAGCAAAAGGACCGTAGCTGCAGCTTTGCATGTGTACCAATTGCACAATTGAAATCATTAATAGTGTTTTATTAATCAAACATTTCATTGTTTATATGCTATTAGTTCAAGAAAGAAACACTATATAGACAAATAGATTTTAAAACGAGGACCTAGGTCGTAGGTCCCCATATTATCCTACAGAGTAGATAGCAGTTTGCAAACAACATGAAACAACAAATGGCTTGCCATGTGTTTGGAGTTCTTGATAGGGATTCCAACGGGGTTGGCCGTCACCCATTGGAGCTGGGCCGGGGGCCGTCGCGTGGGTGCCGAGGTCCGTGGAGGGCAGGGGCCAACCAACTCCTACCCCGAAGCAGCCGGGGAATCTCAGACGCGACGGTCGAGTTGATCGACTTGAAGTGGATCGATGAGTGGATCGGATTTGATCGATTTGCTTCCCCAGACGCGACCCCTGCTTCAGAGCCAAAGGAGTCTCACGTCGGCAAAAAACGGACGACCGGCGACCCCATCGAGTTCTCCTGTCGCGCTCGATGCGCGTCGATGCGCACCGACTCAGTGGAGTAGTTCGGACTCCGGAGAAGGGTGCGGCTTCCTGGCCCCACCAATTGATTTAATAAGCGGGTCATCTCACCTGGTTCTTCAAAGTGACCGAACTTGATAATCTGGTTTGAGGTCACTTAAGCCTAAGGGTCACTTACGAACCTTCAAAAGGTCACTTTGAAGAAGCTGGCACACCAGTGTTTGACAGGATTTTATACAAAACCCTATGCCGTTCCCATGTGTTGTCATGGCCGAGTCCGGAAGTCCGGAAGTGGGGTGTGGACGGACCGTGGCGACTGGTCTGGCTGCGCCTGGTGGTGAATTCCACTCGGCGGCGCCTGTCGGGTTCGACCCCCCCGACCCGTGAATTCCGAGTCGGTTTTACGAGCAGCCCCTGGGCCCCTAAGAATGCTAGCTGGGTAGCGTCCTCTTGTTCCTAGTATGGTCAGGAGCCCCGAACGTAGCTTCACAGCCCATGCATTCCCATCTTCACACTAGTAGTAACAAGAAGCTATATTAGAATCTTCACATGCATTCCCATTTTCACAGCCCTGTTCTCCAAAGACCCCGAGGGGGCCCGGGCGTCCGCGACTGAACGGCCCCCCAGCGAAGCGGAACGGCCCTCCAGACCGAAAGCGGACGCTGAAGCGGGCCCGGAGATGGTGTCTGTCGGGGTGTTAGGTCAAAGATTCTGAAAACAAGCCACCTGTCATATCAGCTGATTTGGGTCATATCAGAGCAAGCGCTTCTAATTAACAGGTCCTTCTTCCAGGAATTGGACGTTCTTGGCCGGACATCCATCGCCCCTTTGGGTCTTCTCCGCGCCCTTCTCCAAGGTCACGGTGCTCTCACCGGGGCACATTGCCTTTGTCCCCCGATCGCGCGGAGGGGGCGGGGGTTTTCGCGGAGGGGGGCCACGGATATGGAGAGACTGGTCATTTTCCAGGCCAAGACATGGTCATTTTGCCAAAGACATGAACTGAGGTCATTTCAGTTGAACTGAAGAAGTGACCAGGACTGGATGTCACTGGATGTAGTAGTAGTAGTAGTAGTAGTATACCCGAGCGAACAACGACTTCCCGGTCGGGATCTTTGGGGTCGCGGTCGGAACTGGTGATCGAAAGGTCAACGCTTTCAGGGACATCGATGCTTGACATCGGCTAGGCCCGGCCTAAGGCTAACGGCCTAAGGAGGGCGAAATCGGATCCTCGGTCCTTGAGCTCCGCGGAGCGAACGATCCTCTTCAGGTCTTGAGCACTTGCAAAATGGAGACCAGCAAGCTGGGTCTCCGCAGGCACGGCGTCGCGGTGTCCGGGTGGGGAAGGAAGAAAGTCACCGGTCTTCTTTCCCTGCCTGTCACCAGTCAGCTTGTCGGAGGTCAAGTGAAGAAACGGCCTTTCCCCTTCCACCTCCTTTCTAATTCTATGTTACTCAGTTACGCACGTGGTTGTTGCAGTATGGGGAGACATTTGACTGAGAAAAACAAGCAGAGATTGGATGATCTAATAGCAATAGCCTCCAACCTACTAGCGATGGCCTCCAACCTAATAGATGGGAAGTAGAAAGCCATAATTGGATGATCTTGGAGTGTTGCTTGGAGCCTTGCTTGCCCTTCCGATCTCCAGGGAGCCCTTCCGGTTTGCACCAGCAAAATTGGGGCCAAAGCTCTCTCCTCAATCCCCGTTCAATAAAACTTCTTCAATGACTGCAATAGGCCTCCAACCTCTGAGCGATGGCCTCCGAATAAAACAACCCCTTCATCCACAGCCCTTCAGTAGAACTGGCGATCCTCTCCACTGTCCTACAGCGATCCTCCCCCCAGAGCCGTGAAGCACGTGACCCACCACGGACCCGGTTACACCCGTCAGGTTCGGCTTCACCACCTCGGGCGAGTTGGCCGTTCGGAGCGCCCATGGGGCACGTCGTGGTTGTGGAGAAGTGAGAGGTGAAAACGTCTTGGGAATCAAATCATGGTCCGGACAGTGCTGACGTGTGTGTCGGAACTCCTCCGGGTGTCTCAAGAAGGACGCTTCTCAAAAATCCCTATTTCATCGAGTTCCACTCAGAGGATCCAATCCTTCTCCGTCGACCAGTGCTCAGGTGCTGCACCGCTGCGTGAACTTGCCGTCAGGCGTGGCGGTCCGACCGTTGGCAGCGGCACAGCTGCCCGGCGGCGAGAGGAGGAGGTTTGATTTGGGTCTCCCTGATGATTTTAAGAGACCATGACCCAGCCAGAACGAAACCGTGACGAACGACTAAGATGAACTAGAAGGACCTGGAAGTCAATCCATCCACCACTAGCAGCAGTTCGGGGTAGTTCACATGACTGGACTCGGGCCGCGGGCTCCAGCCACACCGCTGGACACTGCACGTACACCCAACATGGAGCCTGAAAACCACTGGGTTGTAGAGTCATTTTGGACTTTCAGGGCTCAGAAACGCAAATCGCTTGTACCCCAGACATGCCGTCGTGCGACATGCATCGCTCATCGCTGAATAACCGCGGTGGGCCCGTGGAGTCCAAGGTGAGGTTGCGCGGAGTCCAGTTTTCAACCAACAACAGGTCAAAGATGATCAGTACTTTGGGGGGGGGAAGAAAACGCCTGCAATCTAACCTTCATGATCCACTGGGATGTTTCCCCAAACCCATCGGCTACGCAACTCGTCCGGATGTCGACGAAAGCATCCTGATGTCTCTCGTTGCGTCGGTGCGTACGATGGGCCACCGGCACGTTTGTGACCAAATGCTCCGAGTTTGGTGCACGATGTGCATCTCATCGTCAATCCAGGATGCCTCTATGGCGCTGTGTGGGAGAAGGTGAGGGCCCTTCGCGAGGCACGAGAGGACGATTGGAGCCGAAAAGGAATGTGTGTGTGTGTGTTTTTGATTGGAGTAAAGAGAGGAAGCCTTGGAGGTACTCCAGCCTGGGGTAAAACGCTTCATGTTTGGAATGTCTTTGAAGGTTTCAACGCCTAAAGCTTTTGTCGCCCAACCCGAACAACGCCGAGCTTCGTCGGTCGCCCCGAACCAGGAACGGGTCGAGCGATCCCAAGCCCCGAGAGCCGAACCAGCGATCGCAGTGGGGTCAGACTGCACAGAGAGAGAGAGAGAGAACAAACGTGATGGTGGATCTGTAGAGCGTTGAAAAGTATCACACCAATTCATACATTCCCCCATTTCTGCATCTGAAGGCTGGAATGCTTTGGAATCTTTGGAAGAGACCCCCCACCAACCACATCTACTAAACTAGGGCCCACAAGGGATGGGCCATAAGTAGATACCCCAAACACGCCCTGGTCTGAATCTCAGTGATGCGCTTGGAAACCCACAGGCCTTGCGGCAAGAGCTGAAGGCGGCCTGGCGGATGGGCTTCCGAACTGCCTGTCTTCGGCGCTCACTGGGATTCCAGCGCTTCCGTCTGAGGTGGCCCGTTCTTTTTTGAAGCCAAAAAGGCGGCTACTCAGAGGTGTCTTGTCTTTTTTTTGAAAAAACGAACGAACCTGATCTCAAAAAGAGGTGGTCGACACCAACGGGCGTTTGCCGGAGACGAACCGGGTTGAGACGAACTCCACGGATCAGGGCCATGGAGTGGTGCCTCGTGAGGGTAATGCTTCCAACGCCAAACAGGTGGACCTGGCAGGACGTTTGTTGGTTCATCTGCCAGGGTTTAGGGGATAAACCTCAGCTCTTCCTGACGTGTCTGAGACCTTTTCGGACGTTTCTGGGGGTGAAAGACCTCCACTTAGTGTCGACCACGAAGGGCACGGACGTCGCACGGCTCCTGCCGTTCGGCCTCCCGCGCAGTTTGAGATGCCCTCCAAGGAGAGGGGGGAGCGGTGGGGAGGAGACGCAGGAGCCTGCATGGGCTCGCCATGGTGTGGCGTGTCGTGTGCGTTCTTATTGTGTCAACTCCTTCAGTAAGTAGGCGCGCCCCCGGAAGGCGACCAACGCCTTCTTGCACCGGATGTAGCGTGAGCTAGCTCGCACTGTTCATTTGGTTCCTGACTGCGTCTCACACTGAGTGACAGAAACCCACCGGTGCTGCTTGGTCGATGTGCATTCGGTACATCGGTCTCTTCTGCAGATGAACGGTTCGGCTGAAGGGCCGACCTCGCCCTTGAGCCGGAAAGGGGCGTCCGGCGTCCAGGGACGCAAGACGTCGCAGCGACAAAGGTGGCAACCCACATTCGTCTTTACTGCTGTCCTTTTTTGGGGTATGTTGCGCCACACCCCGGCGACGAAGGAACAAGCCCAAGCAGCGACCTTCTGTCAGGTTTGGTGATAAAGTGTTGTTATCATTTGTATAATATATATATATATTATACTTATATATATATATTAACATACATCATACATATCGTATTCATTATTTTTCAGAATACAACTCGCCCGCATATACACCTCTCCCTAGTGCGATATGTTTATTGCTATGTGTTGAAGTGGTTCTTCAGAAGTTTACGCCATGCGCAGGCACATGAACACTTGAACATACAATTCGGCCATCGGCGAACATTTCTGAAGTATTTCGTGGTCTATGTGGAACGTACATGTAACATCGCATGAAAAATATTGGATTGCATGGCGTTCTGCGTTATTGTTTAAAGTGTTTTTACTTGTCATCGATATTCGATATGTGAAACAACAACGCAAAGGAACAGCGCACGCAGAAAGAATGCGCTAGATCTTGGTGGATGCTATTGGGGTTGTCAGCCGGGTTAATCCCAACTGTTTGTTTGTTTGTCGTTCCTTCTTTCACGCACCCTTGGCCAGGATGGGCGTTCCCGGGAGCTTCCAAAAGCAAGCGACCAAGCCACTGTTGCGGTTCAAGGGGGCCGTGTTTGAGGGAAACATTTTTCCGGCCCTTGCGAGAACTACGACAAGGTGATAGGGCAAAAGTGGGTTCTGGCTGTGGGGCGGCGCTACCTTGTCATCCTGCCTGCAGACATTGAGGCGTCGGGCTCCAGACACAAGCAGCGACACTATCTCCTTTGAAGCCGCCGTCCGCTTGCCCCGGCGCACGGCACGGCCTCATTTGTTCACGGCTGGGGCGAGGATGCCGGAAACTTAGATGCTTGCTGCTGCTCTCCTTCTCGCTGGGCGCGCAATACGGCCCTACTGGTCTGACTCAGCGCCCAGACGACGTGGGCAAGAGAACTTGCACACTTGCGCTGTTTTGGAACCCATGCGCCCAATCAACTGCAGTGTGCTCGCAAGGACATGCCCACAGCAGCAAACGACCCACTGGGCACCTTGGAGCCCGGCCCAATCCATCGGCTGGCGGACTCCGCCACCAGCATGCAGACTCCTACACAGGGGTTGGCCACAGGATGTCTGAGCGCTTTCAGGAATGATTGCTGCATGCGGCGAACGACTGCCTGGAGGAGGCGTTGGACGACCCCTTGCGAATTGACTTGCGCACGGGATGCATCAAGGGGTTGAAGCGTGCGGGACGCATGCCCCACAAAGCGCACCGGGTCCCCAAGAAGTGGCCTGCGGCTGCCGCTCCCCGGGACGCAGGCTCCTTGTCTTGTTCTTGGAGCTCGCAGCCACAAGGGGCGATCAAGAAATGCACTGGCGCAAATCCTCATGGGCATTAGACAACGAAGGCCCACCAATAAGTCACCAGATGCGTTTTCTCATCTTGCCGCTAGAACAGGTCTTACAAATTCGATTGCTCTTGTCCCCTTTGCACACAAGGGTCTGAAAGGGGCCGCATTGCCTTTTGACCGGGCTTTGCCGGGGCGCGCGCTGCGGTTGCTATCCCGCAGATTCTTTTGGAGCCGGCGCAAGGGCAGCCTTGGGAGATCATTGCCGAGCAAGACCCCAGCAGGCGCCCAAATTAAGCATCTTTCAATTTCCAACTTTTGCGGAGATGAAATGCGGTGTAAAAATAGACTGGGGCACACAAGGCGCAAAAATATGCAACTACAGCCTTGGTGTGGTGAGGCCAAAGTGTTCTGCGTATCTCTGGATCGTTGCGTGTCAGACTGCGCAAGATGTTTGATTGGACGCCGCATTGCAAAGCATTGCCATTCCAACCCAAACTTTGCATTTGAATGCGAAGGGCTGAGCTTGCAAGAGCGACGGGCTATCTCCCCAACATGCATGAACTCTTGCGGAACTTGCATGTCAGTTGGGTGCCCTCCGTCCTTTCCAACTTTTAGTTTAAACATAAGGTTGTTTGCCACTTTACGCGGGGGAGTAAGTTTTGTCGATGATGGAGTCCATTTGCAGGTTTTTGCACCAGCAACGCTGTGATGCAAAAGGGTCATGCCTCTTTGACGCCATGCAGTCGTTTTCTTGTGTCAGTGTCTCTCTTTGAAGACTGGAGCATTGCTAAGTTGAGACCAGCAGCAACGGATCTTTAGAGAACAGGTATAGGTCTTTCAGCGCCAGTACTAGCGCCTTGTGGAGCCATGGGTTGCTGTCAGAGCAAGTTCTCGGAAGTGGCCCTCCAGAGTCACCCTCTTCCCCGGGCGCGGCCCCATGATGATGCGGCTCACGAATGGAACCTACTTCCCACCTCAGGTCATATTGAGGAGGGTCGCGCTAAAGAGCTGCCAGACTCAAGACTCCTGATCGTCTCTTTCTGGAGCAAACTTGATTTTGATCCAACGCTGAAAGGTGTGAAATTTGAAGGCGCTACCTATTCTTGATTTCCTCGTGTAATTTGATGCCCAGGTGGCCGACTCCTTGCCAGTGCTCCAGAGTGTCCACACATGCCCTCTTTACCATCATGGTCGTTGAGACCACCCGTGACGTGCTTGCATCACATGGTGCGCTGTCGCAAAAACTATGGTAATTTTCGGGCCAAGCCTTCAGAACCCACTTTGACTCATACTTGAGACGCTTCAAGCTTCAGTCCTTAGGATTTCGCCCTTATTCCATGAGAAGGGGCGGGGCAACTTGGTTGCTACAATCCACCGGCTCCATGGAAATTGCCCTGCTGAAGGGCTGGTCCAGCCACCGAGTGGCAGGATCTACATCGCCGATGGTTTGTCGAAGTTACCAGACCTTGTTCTCCCCTCTTCCACAAAGCACCTCCTATCAGCATGGGATCCACGTCGTCTAAACGACGCAAAGGGGGTCCGTGGAAAGGCCGTTGAGAAGACGCTTTTTCGAGCATCTGCATGGGTGCTGAAGATACAAAAATAAGCAAAAGATTCCATCTGAATGGGTGGAATAAGCTGTCTGCATGGGCAGCATCAGTGTACAAGCCCGGATGAGGCAGAAGCCTAGCAAAGGCTTGTGATTCGGAAAAAAGGAACACTTCACAGGACTTTAGAACGCCCACTCCAGTTGTGGAAAAGAGGTGAATCCTAAACTAAATAACTTTATTGTAGTAAACAATATAAAAATACATATATATATATACCCGAGAAGTCCAAAGACTATGTTTTGAACGGCTGAAGTAAAGGAAGTTCCCTTTCAGGTCCCCAATCTTGAATTCAACTTTAAAGGATTAAGAAAAATCACGAAGACTTGCCAACTGCTTTTTCACACCCCACCCAAAAGGCTCATTGGACCGTCACAATTCTAAGGTTTTGAGCCGAAACAATTTTGGCACTTGGTCCGGGTCCAGAGTCGCCCAGATGGGCATATCACCAAACACTCAGGCCAGCAAAACCGCTGATTTGCAGCTTTGCTGTCACACACTGGTCCCCCATAACAAACCGTTCGTTTTTGCGTGTCCTTGGTGGCTTGGATCCTCGATCCTCTTTGTGGAAAAGCGACAGGACACACCGGTGCTGTACGACTCGGATGTCACGGATCTCACCTGGGATCTCTTCCAGGCGCCCATCAGCTGGGCCGGCGGAGCCTTCGGCAAGCCTCGCCCAGCTCTTCCTTGTGCTTGAGGGTTCAGGATGCCTTCAATCGGATGGTTCAGGATGGGAATCATGGGGAAACAGTTCAATTGTTCTTTTGCTCTTCACTTTATTTGAAGGTTGAGGTGTTTTTAAAGGGATTCTTGAGGTTGATGGCTAGGTCACACACGCGTTTCTCGCGATGGCACGGCTAGGTCGTGCCGCCCCCGGCTTGGGTCGTTGTGGACGTTGATCCAGACCGGTCCAAGAGCATCCGAAGTGTCCTGCTGTCGGCGGCACTGACCCTTCGAACTGGAAGTACGTAGTCACTCACCTCCATCCAAGACGCTCCCAAGTGCGGAGGTACCTGGACCCGAAAAGAGAGAAGCAAACACGGAATCAGCACCGCTGTGTGTGGGACCCACCGTGGCATCGATCCCGCCTTCGTTCCCCGGCACCGCTCCGCAGCCCGGTGCGGAGCCGCCGGTGCTTCCGCCCCGCAAGGCCGTGGCCGGGCCGATGAAGGGCGAAGAGGCGCTTTCTGGAGCGGCGGCGTGAGGGGAGGGGAGGGGTGGAGTTGGGAGATGTGGCTGCCAAGTTTGGGGATGTGCATTATATGTGTTTCTTTGGTTTTTCAAGAGGTTGGTGATGTAGGCGGAGCAATGGAGGATATTTCAACCTCTCCATAGGAAGGAGGTGTCTACCATCCATTGACTGTTGATGTGTCAACCTCCCCGGTTGAACTGTGAAGAAGTTTTTACCATCCAATCTCTGAGAGTCCAGGAGGAGTAGCTCATTGTCGTCAAGTCACGAAAGTTCTGGGCTAAGTCTAAAATCACCAGAGGTGTTTGTGGACTACGTTCCTTCAATCGACCCATGAACCAATAGGCCAACAAACCAGCTTCTCATGAGGACCAAGCAGCAGTTGCCAGTTCGCCAAGCAGCACTACCAGAACTGGACTCTCAAGGGTAGACGGATCTCTTCCAATCTGCGTCTCCCCAGCGGTCGGTCTCCCCCGAGAGGCCACCCTGGCGTTGGACCGTGACGGCGTGCAGAGCGTCCTCAGCAACACCACGGTGGGGAGCGCGAGGGTTTTTGGAGAGAAGAAGCCGAGAAAACAGTGGTACATAAGCAAAACTCAAACACAACTGGAGTGAGTTGTGAGTTGTGTTCTGGGCGACCTAACCTCTCTGTGTGAAAAAACCCTCTCGCACGGTTTTGGAGAGAGGTCGATCTATCGATGGCAGGATACGTCGGGATGGGCGACCTTCGGTCCAGATGATTGGCCGGGTACACTCCAAACGAACATGGTTACGTGGAGTTCACCACCACCACCCTGTTTGGTCCGTGGATTTCATGGATGGTCTTCCGAACTGGCCATTCTCCACTTCCATGTTAGTGCCAGGGAGTGTACATCCATCCAAACCATTTCTGCCACCTCGAGCTGGGAAAGACAAAGGGAGAGAGAGAGAGAGAAGAGAAAAAGAAAAGTTTCGCTACGGCCAAGTCTTTTCTAAGAAGACGACTTTTCCGGGTTTTGCGGAGGAAGGTCTGAGTCGGGTGTCGGGTGTCTTACGGGGTCGGTGTTTGAGACAGTTCTCTCTCTCTCTCTCTCTCTCGGTGCATTTTTCAGGAAGTTGGATCAAGTCCGCGTTCATCATCCGCATGCACTCCACGATCGTTCCTGCACATAAACACCAAAAGCTTGACATGTAGGGTCCATCCGCTTCGGAATCACCTCTTTACATCTCGGAATCACCGGGAGCGACCGGCGTCCTCTTGGCACCTCAGAGCCCCAGGTGAATCTGTTGAAGCAGGAGCTTCCAATCGGCGTGGTACCCGAGGCACGCGGCATGCACCGTGAAGTCAAAGGGAAGAACACAATCTACACGCGACTAGTAGCAAGGTGCATTGCTATTAGTAGCTAATTTGCTACAAGTGTTCCAGAGTCGGTGCCCAAATCGAGTCTGAACAAACCAGCATTGCAGGTGCTGACTGGTTGCGAGAGACTGACTCATGGTGGCTGGCGTTCTGCTGGCTAGATGGGTCGGATGTTCAACGTTCGTTAGACTCGCCACACCATGCCACACCTAGGTCAATTGACTAAGTGGTTCGTTTGGGCACCGTTCGGGTAGAGGCGTGTTGCCTCAAAACACCGGGAAAAGGGTTCGTTCTTCGTTGCGCCCAATTCATGGTGCAGGCCTTTTTGCCTGTGGCGGAATGGCCAACGCTCGTGCAGAGGCAAGAGGTGTTGGCGGCATTTGAGCCACTGGAAACAGGGTTTGAGCCACATTCCAGCACCACCCAGTTCAGGTGTGTTATGGGCATCGTTTTCTGAAGTCCCCTCTGAAGATGTATTTTTGCCATCCAATCACCACCCTTTCTTTGGGTGCTGGTGGTTTTTTTAACGAAATCTGAGCAATTACGAAAAGCTGTTCAACTGGAGTCCTGCATCGTCCGAAGGCGACAAGAGCTGGTGAACAAGATCAACTGTCCGGGCGTCGAGATGTGAGTATTGGACCCGGACTGACGTCGGGGAGCACCGGTGCCGGAGGGCGAGTCCAAGTTGGTTGAGACAGGTTACAGGTGGTTTCGAAGTATATCTGCAGTGCACAGTATTGAGGTGGTGGTCACAGAGCACTGATTGAGACCTGTCTCAGGCTGAAGTCAAGCTGTAGAGTCAGGTGGGTAAGGCACGGGGTCTTCTTTCAAGACGAGATCTCGTGTGGGACTGGATCATCATGATCTCCTCGCCGCTTCGCCGACTCTGTGCGACGACTCTGTGTAAGAAGTGGTTGGTTGACTCAAGCAGGAACCCTGATTGTGGGACAGATGGATCACTGCTTGAAACTGTTCCAGATGCATCCACATCCAGATCCACATGCGACCCCTCCAACTCCGTTCGGGTTTGAGGCCGAACATCCAGCGAGAGAGGTCGTCTCGCACGAGCCGACGTCCGGTCGCGTGGATCCCCTGATGTCTTGGGGTCCAAGGTGAAGTGAAAGCCACGGACTCAGAGGGAACAGGAGCAGGTGGAGAGGGGGGTAGTATCGCGGCGGGCGGGATGAAATTGTGTCGAGCTGTCCTGAGTGATGTTTTAGTGATGCTTTTGGGGGTTGGAAAGTCTTCTCCTAAAGACATGCTAGAGCCGGACCCTTGTGGCTAGAATGTTGAGGTCTAGACGCCTTCTTATATATAGGCTGGCGTTTTGGTTGGATTTCCACCCTCGGGTTCCTCTTGTGGCTAGCGTGAAACCGCGTGTTTGAAGATGACACCGTTTTGCTGTTCGCGAAGTGATGTGAAATTCAGCCTTCATCCAGCGTTCGAAGAAGGACGCTACGAACGGGGCTCCTGGCCTTACGAACCTGACTCCACGATCAAAAGGGAGTGACTAGTACTTATAGTGAACGAAAGGAAATGGACATACCAATTCTTGTTGGGTTCGCCCCAAAGCCCTGAAAGTCGACTGGAAAGGTGATGGTTGAAAAACGAGAGAAGTCGACTGGAAGCTTCTTTTGGCAGACCTTTCTCGGGTCGACTGGGCTTCGCTCTACCGAAGAAAGAACGCACCACTGCGTGGAGAGAGCAGAACGCTCGCAGCATTTGGCTTGATTGGGGAGGGGGGAAAATTCCACTCGTGTTTTTTTTTTTCAGCACCGAGCCTCTGCGAGTGCCTCTGCGCTCTGCTTTGACCGCACCGAAATGGGCCTGCGGCAGTACGTGGAGATCGAGGGAGAGTCAGAGGGTGTCACTGGACCGAAGGAGTCGGATGGGACTGAAGAAGAACGACATGGTTGAGACACCGGTGGTGGTTTGGGATCTACCCAGGGACCGTAACCGTAACCAAGACATCGATCTGTTTGGTATTCTTGGGGAATCCCGCAATAGTGCGCAATCTCGCCCAGCAATCCTGCAGGTCCAGTCGTAAAACCTGGTCCATGACCTCATTTGAGTGGTGTTTTTGAAATGATCAGTTCCAGTCAATTGAGGTCTTTGACCGAAATCGATGGCCTTACCAAGCTGCGATTTCATCGGCGTGCGTCGGTTTAGGACCACGGTTGGGGAAGCTGGTTTCATCGGCCGAAAGAAAACGACGAGCGGCGGAGTACGGAGTCCATGTGTGGTGCCGGAGAAGACCAAGTCTACTGAGTCCCATTTGGGGCTTTCCCTCATGCACCTCGTAGCCACCAAAGCTGCTTAGTTCCATCCTCGAGGACGTCACGTTCTATCTCCAGAAAAGGGCAAGTGTCACCACCCAGCTTCACCACCCAGCTGACCCCCTCCGTCACCTCCGTCGGTTCACCACGGTTCGCCGGCCAAGGAGTACGTGACGCCGGCCAAGCGGCCACGCTTGAAGCTCCGCCTCTCCGAGCCCAAGGCGTGGCAGCAGTTTGGGGCCTTCATCCAAAGGCCTCATGTAGGGCTTCATCCACGCCCCCTAAGCACCATCCCAAACGTCTCCTGGAAACGGGAAGACTTGGCCACCACGCAGGAACTCGGAAACGGAGCGCCGCGAACCATCCGCAGGTGCCCAGGCCGTCGAACGCGGAGAACCCGCAAGACGCGGAGGCCAAGGGCGGACGCGCGAGGACGCTGATGGAGACGCCGAGCCGCCGCGAGGGGCTCTCCGAGGACGCAGGGAGTGGGTCGCGACTTGGGAGAGGGTCGAAAAGGAATCAGAAAACGGTGGGTTTCGTTGATGTTTCTAGATGGTTCGTGTAGAATGTGGGTTTGGGCTTCGCGGTGAAGAGTGTTTCTAGGTTGGTGGTGGAAACGCCATCAAAAATGCTGTTTTGTGCAACAGAAGAGGACTGATTGAGCAGCTGGGGTGAGTCATTGACTGGGATGATCTCCGGTTCCCGTTTCAGGTTCGTGTGATTGTTGGATCGGCGATGAACACCTGAAGAGTAAAGTGCTGAAGTTGGGGGGTTCAACATCTGGTTGCTGGCGGCTCCAAGTACTGCAGCACCCACAGTACCCAAATGCAAGATAGAGTTGAACCATGAGCAGTTCAATTCTTTGAGTGAGGATGTCCCACGAAAAGAAATGAACATATCTCATCTACAGGATGTCCAACCAGTCTGAATCCCCATCTCCAACCCCTGCTTCATGCCTATTTCGCCCAGACCATGACAGCTAGACCAGCCATTTGGAGGCCCTCCCTGCTTGGTGGGTCCAAGTCCTGGAACAGGAGCAAGAGCGCCGCTTCCGCATGGCTGTGTGCAAGAGCAGCGATGAAGTCCTCGGCGCCTTGCTTTGTGGCTTGGAGCAGGAGGATGCGCTGGCACTGAAGCGATCGGAGGTGCAGAGAGCACAAATCCATGCCTACCACGCAGCGCCTTGGACATGTTCGTGTGTCGTTGAGTTGGACATGACGGACCACTTCGTCGCTCGGGACATGGGGGGAATGAGGCAACGTTCGAAGACCCCGCGCAAGACGGCGTGTTTGGAGGGCGACTCTGGGCCATTCGTGTTGCGAAACAATCCTCTGCCTACGACACCGGCAGCAACAGTTGGGTGTACCCCACCAGTAACAGGTGGGTATAAAGGATGCTCACGGTTTGGGGTGCAAAGGATCTGCGTTCGCCTGTGTGTTTGTGGCGTTTCAACCAGGTCGCCAGGCCTCTCCATCGAAGAACCAGCCGACCTGACCGAGCCACCACGCCGATCGCTGCGAATCGCTCAGCTGGCGCCGTCCGCGTCCGCAGCTTCAAGGTGCAGCTCTACTTCACCATGAAATCCTTCCAAAGCAGCAACATCGAAGCGGCCACTCTCTTGGCCGCCTGGAAGGCCGTGAAGGCGCGGGTGCCGGGAGCGCGCGGAATCCGGCGACAGGCGGGTCATTGGTTCCGACCTATCCGTGTGTTCAGTGTATCAGCCCGTGTTGAGGCGAAGTAACCCGTTTTTCCCGTCGGTGTGGGTCCCCTTTGCCCCGAGAAGGTCGTTCCAGAATCTCGGATGAAATGGGGTGTCGAACACCCCGTCCCGCCTGCCGGTGTCTTCCGGGTGTTCGACGGGTTTCACAGCAAAGCTGAGTTCTTTCCTTGTCAAACACTTCCTGAAACACTCATGGATGATCATGGATGGCATGACCCCTTGAATACACCATGTTCCTCTAGTAAATATAGGGGCGGGATGATCTACTTCCGATCATGCCTCGGAACTCTAACCCAGATTTAAGGAACCAGCATACCTAGATCTTCCAACTGTGCAACTTTCATCCCTTGTCCAACTGTCCAATTGATGAAAAGGCAGAAAGTCTGCACAGTTGGAAGATCCAGGTATGACCTCATTGTTTCATTTGCCTACAGAACTGCCAAATGCTCGGCCCTGCACAAGACGGCCGCGCTTTTTGTCGCCAGGACACGAGGATCCTGGTTTCTGCCGAGCGCTTCGTTCAGGCGAATCGATGGCCCGGAGGGCGCATCTCTGATCGATTTCGAAAACAGCGAAAGCAGCGAAAACAAGGAAGACTGGGATCCCTGCAACCTGCAACCCTCCAACTCCAAACCGCACCATGCGGGTTCACTGCGCATTTTCCCCCAGAATACACACCATGGAATGAACTACTGCAAATGATCTCTTTTCGCAAAGAAACTCGTAATCTCGTGCCGTCCTCTCCAGTGATGTACAAACCTTGAATCCACACACCTGTGGTAACCTCCGAGAAGAAAAACAGGAAAACCCACCGTCACCGGTGTCCGGCACACATGACACATGTTCTCCCTCAAGGTGGAGATGGTGAGGTTCTTCAGTGCGGTTGGCGTCTCTGGGTCTTTCCCCCATAGCATTGGCGCTTGAGTGTTCAGCCCAGATCCTGTGAGGTGCTACAAGAACAAGAAGTGGCTCTGGAGGCAGTGCCTCAGGGAACCCGTTCGGGGGCATCGAAGTGGTGTTCTTGTGTGCGTGTGGCGCGCGTGGCAGAGAGAGTCAGAGAGAGAGAGAGAGAGAAAGAGAGAGAGAGAGAGAGAAAGAGAGAGAGAGAGAGTCAGAGAGAGGGGGAGAGAGAGTTTGTGCTACTGAACGGTTTTTTCGAGGATGCTCAACAGGAGATGTCCCATGCCACAATTCTACCAGAATGCCCGGCGGACCTCTCCAATAACCTCAGACACAGTGGGTAGTTAGGGCTTGTTGTTTCGTCAATAACCTCAGACAATGAATAAAACCACGCTAAACCCCTATGATGAGGCTCAACCTACAGGCCTCCTCCAAACTTTGAGGTCTTTCGTGTTCAGTTTCAGAGATCCTGTGTAGCGATGAGTTGATGATCAGGCCGAAGTCCATATTTGAGGAGGGAGCAGGGAGAAGAGTCTCGATGTATTTGGCAGAGCATCTTCCTCCTCTGGCCTTGACAGCACGACATCCTCATGCGAGGAGCTATGGCAATCTACAAATCGTCAGAGAAGGCCTCGCAAAGTTACGCCAACCAATACCTAAAATCCACCAACCACAGCCCAGATTGCAAACGTCGAACCTCCTTTGGCTCGCGTGTTCCTCGGCTGCCTCCAAGTGCTTGCCTTTTTCAAGCCTATCATCTTTATTATGCTTTATGCTGTGTGAAGCACAGGCAAGAAAAGAGCTGTAGTGCTGAGAACTTATGTCTTGTGAACTGCAGAAAAGCATGATGAAAATAAGTCACAAGGACAAGCACAAAGGTGCGTACCTTATGAGACCAGACACGATCAGATACGTGGCAATGGGTGGAGCTGACAAAGTCGGTAAAAAGGTGAACGAGAAGAACCCGCTCCCCAAACCTGCAGACCTTTCGAAAAGAACTGCGTTTCCTCAGCATGTCTCCACGTTTTGGTGAAGACTCTCAAGCTGTATAGTTGCATGTGTGTGTGTGTGCGTCGTTCCGCTGGTTTGCTGGCACTTGCGACCTGTGAATCAAAGCTGGTGTTGCCTTTGCTCCCATCCCACATGATGCGCAGCGCTATTCTCAGTTTGCACTATTCTCAGTGGAGTAGCTCAAAGAAATGTCAGAACCCAATGATGGTGGAGATTCTGAAGAGCTAGAGAGGAATGCCCCTGTGTCACTTGTTGGAGAAGGTGGTCTTAGACCAGCCTCACAGAGACTCCGACCGTCCGACCAGCAGGGCCCGGCTTTCCACACGGACTTGTGAACGCAGGCGTTCCACGGTTTGCGCAGTGAATCGAAATCCGCGAGATTTGTTGGGATGGATGAGGTGCATGCCCAGCTGCAGGTTGCATAAACACCGTCATCACCAGGCCGTTTGGAAAAGAGTTGTTTCGTCTTTGGACGGTTTTTTCGGTTGCAACATGTCGGTCATTAGAACTTTGCAAGTTGACGTTCTGCTGTGGCAAACAAGCGAAATCTTCCTTTGAGGCCCGCGAACAAACCAACACAAAGTATAAGAATGTTAACGACATCAAGGCTTTCGTAGTAACAGGTGCCTTACTAGTAGTAACAAGGTTCACTAGTAGTAACAAGTGCCACGCTAGTAGTAACAGGTGCCTTACTTAGTAGTAACAAATTAGAATTACATGGACTGTTGATGGGATGTGCTTATGTACAAATTCGAATGTTAACGACATCAAGGCTTTCGTGCCCGATGGGCTCTGCGCGATGGGTTCTGCTCATTGGCCGCTCACTTGGCCTGTTCTAGTTCCTGCCTCTTCGTTGCTCCTGAAGACTTGCACACTGGTTTGTGAACATCTGCTTAGAACTCCGTGCACAAGGACATGCAGTTTGTCAAGTAAGATGGTATCTCGCCCTCAAACAGGCAAAGCCAAGCGCACTGGCACACAAATCCTGCATGGGCAATGGAACTTGTTGAATAAGCACATCCCATCAACGGTCCATTTAATTCTAATTTGTTACTACTAAGTAAGGCACCTGTTACTACTAGCGTGGCACTTGTTACTACTAGCGAACATTATTACTACTAGTAAGGCACCTGTTACTACTCCCATCAACAGTCCATACAAAGACGTCGAGATCTCGAAAACCGGCTGCCGGACTTCACCTCGTCGCAAAGCGATGAGGTGACCACAAAAGTGTTGCCGAAAAAGGTACAGCGTGGAAGTTTGACGAGTTTAAACTGGAGGGTGCTGCCTGAGAATTGCAAAAATATCAAAGACCTGTAGAAACGCGTAACGCATCTGCATGTTTTGTTAAAGTAACCTCGACAAACCATAGCCAAAAGATACAGTGTTTTGACAGTTCTTCCGAAGACAAATCTTTTGAAAACCTAGAAAGACCAAAGAGTTTGTAACCACGCCATAGCCTTGTTTATCCCAGCCCTTCTTTTGTTTTTGGTTCCGCTTGCTTGGTACCACCCAGCTGGTATTTCCGTTCTCTGCCTAAGAGGCGCTTGGTCTTCACCCGACCCAGTGGCTCACGGAGGAGCGACACGCAGTGGCGAGGGACACGACAGCTGCCGCGTATGCGTTCAATCATCGCCTAGTTTGCAACCAACTTGACTCCATCCTTAACGTTCGCAGAGCGATGTTTGGATGCTACTCATGTGTGCCATGGTTTCGGCCAGTTTGATGGGACCCGACCTAGTACGACCTTCCAGCAAATCACGGACTCACTCGCGACGACAGAATGCAGTTGAGAAACGAGTTTCCAAGAAAACGTCTGGCCAGTAGAGTCTGTGTTGCCGGTCATGTGGTGTTTTCGTCATCCGCCGGGGCCTCGGACGATGCCCTACTTGTTTGGGGCGTCAGGAGGCCATGAACTTGGAGCGATGGGCCAACGGAGCTTCCATCTCCAGGTGTGTTATATGGGCTCAATGGTTCGAAAGCAGGAACAAGGACGCTACTAGGGGCTGCTGGCCATACTACTAGGAACAAGGACACTACTAGGAGCAAAGGGCATCGCTACTAGGAACAAGGACTCTACTAAGAGCCAAGTGACCGACGCAATTCAAACGGTTGGATCTTCTTTTTGAGAACTTGTGGGTAAGGCTCTTTCTGTGTCACGGCTGGCAGCCGGCCCAGCGTGTTTTGGATGTTTCTTTCAACTCATGGGTTTGGCACAGGGGCTGGATCTTCGGTCGTTTTGGTAGCACGAGCTCCGACGTGGGGAGTCCGCTGTTTTTCGGAACAAAACCGGTCGACACCCAACTCCAATTCCCGTCCCACTCCTCCATTCCGTGTACGTCGTGGCCTGGGCATTCCGTGAGAACTCAGCAACTCGAAGTATGTTGAGAACTTTGTTGAGAATTGATTGGAGAGATATGGAGAGATGTGTTTCATCCCCAAGAACTAACCCAAAAGAACCTGCAATCGCAAACACCTTCAAACACTGTTCCTGTTCGAGCAGGGGATGAGCACCATGACCCCACTGACAACTGATTCAATCAAACCAGCAGCACCCCGGAGACGGGTGGTTGTTGGATGGAGAATGCATCTTCAAGAAGAAAAACACCCAGCTCGCTGGGTGGTGCTGGGTTTTCACACAGACCTTCACTATGGACGATAGTGACGATCACCATGTGTTCGATCCGCCCTTCCTGGTGGAAGACCCCACGACTCTGCCCAAGGGCACCCGCTTCGGACGTCCGTGTGTTCCTGTTGGGAGCGGAGCGGACGGCGCGACGGAGCGGACGCCCAGATGCGTGGACCTCTCCTTGGTGGATGGCCTCGCCCAGCGATGGGTGCAGCGGCTGCAGCGAGACGAGGAGCGAGGTGACGAGGTGACGAGGTGAGTTGAAAGGATTGCACGAAACATGGACAAGATGGCCTCTAACCTAAGAGCCATGGCCCTCTAACCTACTAGCGATGGCCTCCAACCTAAGGGCCATGGCCTCCAAGCTCACTAGTTTGCAGAATGTTCATCCAGTTCAGTTGTTTTGGATTGAAAAGATAAGACTCATTATGACTCTATGAATCCTTTATATGACCTATGATGAATTGGGGTGGGCTCCATTGATTTGGGATCTTGATTTTAACTTTGGAGGTGTTCTTTCAACCTTGAACTCTTGACAAAACGAAACGCTTGTCGACCGCTCTCTTTTTAGTGGAAGATGCCATGGACTGACCTACTCCGCTTGGAGTTGCACTCGGAAAGGTACTCGGCTGCTTTCTGGGACTGCCCGAGGTGCAGACCCCAGCCCCACCATCCCCACCGACCACTCACACCTTCGGCTCGGCGTCCGAACTGGATGGGAACGGCGGCACGACGTCAGCTCGATCAGGCTCGAACTTCCGGGGCCGATCCCGAGCCGGATGTCTCCTACAGCGATGTCACGAGAAACGGATCGCCAGGAGCTGCACGGGGACGCAGTGCTGAAGCTCCGAGAGGCTGGTTTGAATCGAGAGCTCCAAGCAGCTGGACAGATCTACAGTATTCTCTTTGTTCCAATTTCTTTCCAGGGGATCTTTTGGGTGGGGTCTTCCTATCTGAATAGTATCAATCAAGTGTGGCAGAAAACCTGTCTTTGCACAGCAGATTGAAAGTGCTGTCGTGAGTTTGCTTGAACGCTTAGCTGGGCCACGGGCTGCTCCATAGGAAAGCAAAAAAGAGAAACATCAAATTGAACATCTCCACCGGAGTCCAGATGGCTATAGGTCAAAACCTGGTTGACTCCTGAAAATGGACAGATTCCTCTATAAGGGGTGTCAACCTACCATGGTTTGGTGAGGGAGGTGCCATGATTATAAATGCCAAATATGTGTGTGTGTGTTGGCTGGTCAAAGGACATGTGTTTTTTCTGCTTCACCTTCGGATGATCCGTGGTTTCTCTTTCTGCTTCTCCTTCGTGCAGACGGCGCGCACCTTGGTGGTGGAAGCCATGCTGGGCCCAGCGCCCTTGATGTTCCCGCCGCACAGAGCAAGTGGGGTTCGAACTGGGCTCGGCTCGGGTGGCCATCGCTTCTAGGGTGGAGGCCATGGCTACCAGGGTGGAAGATCATGTGTCCTGAAACCTCCATGGCATCAGGTCAGCGGTGGAAGGCGCAGGCTGAGCGGATTGGATGTCGTGGTATTTGGGCACCGATTGATCAAAGCCTTTGGGTGTGGCCACTGAGTTTCTGTCTCATCAAGGCATCAGTTTTTTCATCGGAAGTGTGTCTTTTCGTTGCGACGAAAGACCAAACCCTCGCGGAAGGTCTGAGGTCAGTTTGAACCTGGGACCTGGAAGGACTGGGGTTTGGTTTTTGCGGAATCGAAGAGCAAAACCTCTCAACCCAAGTGTGTTTGAGTGACTTCCATCTCCTGCATCTCCTGCAATTACCGTGGTGTGTGTTTTTTTCATGGAAAGGCCCCCTTTTTTCACAGCACCTTTAGATCAACAACCAGGGAACAACACGTTCCGCCGAGGGTCACTTCCATTCGGGAACCTTGCCACTGACTTTCCAATTGCCCGTGTGTGTACGTACTGACCCTGTGGGTCAAACATGGGTAAAACGACAAAACGACCTTTTTCCCTACTCCTGCCGCGTCCAAAAGGAAAGGGACATCGTTGAAGATGCCCTCCGAAAAGGGATCTGGTCCGGACGTGCCACCGTCCCAGGCCTGTGACCCTGGCGGCGGCGGCCACCACGCTGGGGGTGTCCGGGCGTCCCGGGACATCGTCCGATGCGGAGCGCTAATCGGTCGTGACCCAGGGAGCGAGCGCAGAGCACCAGGTAGGAGAAGAAATGGCACCGGCCTGGTTTGGACGCTTCGTGTTGTTTCTTCCTTTTGTATCCCTTTTGTATCATGTGGTGAAGCGGTCCTTTGGTGCCTCTTCGGACATCGCCACGGCCTTTGTACACTCCCTGTGCGCAAGTGGCTCCTCCCAGGAAGCCTCCGGTTCGGTTCGGTTCGCGCGTTTCCGGTTCCAGGTAGAACCGGTTCCTTTCTCGTTTTCTGGGCCTCTTGAGGATTGAGAGAGCTACTACGCACCTTGAATGATAGTTTGTTGGGGTATAGGGCCAGTGTAGGATACTTCTGCATTGTGCATCTCAAGAAGATTTAAACAAGTGTTTCTTTTTCCGGGGGGGCCTTGTCGCATGTCTCTTTGTCTTTACAGGACATGGAATACCTGAAACCCAGATGCAATACGCACCCCGGGCACCGCCCCGGCAACGCTGGTGTGCTGTGCGACAATCTTGGGTACCTGTCTCAGGATGAAGTCGCTGGATGCCTTGAAGGCACTATTGGAAGCGGAGGGCAAAGGGCAAGGATGGGCCCAAAGCTTTTGGTCACAGTCACAATCATTCCCACCCCAAGAATCCTTAGCCAATTTTGCGGCGGTTAGGGGTTTTGCATCGGTCACCTCGAATGTGCCATTGTGGCCTCCCTTCAGCCGTTGATGGCATGACTGGAAGGACTGGGGTTCGTGGACTGGTCCACGAAATCGTGGACCTGGATGACAAGGAGCAAGGACGCTACTAGGGGCTCCTGGCATCGCTACTAGGAGCAAGGACGTAGTAGGGGCTCCTGGCCTTACTAGCAGCAAGGACGCTACTAGTAGCAAAGGGCATCGCTACCTATCGCTACTAGGAGCTTGCTTCTTGTTTCCGTTCTTATTCTATCTCCATCCGTGTGGCAGGTCCACTCTCGTTCGAACGATGTCAAAAACACCCGCCGCCCTCGGCGGAGTAACCAGGCCAGCTCCGAAGAGATCAAGGGGAGGATCAAGAAGGAGCGATGTTTAGACTCTTGCTGAACAATACCTCCACATGAAGAAGTGCTTCAATTCCAAATGGAATGGTTTTTCCGATCAAGAGTCTACCTTAGCATGGAGTGGATGGGCTGCCTTTTTTTAAAGCTTGGAGGGCGAGCGAAGCCAAGTGAGCTTGCGAAGCCCGGATGCCGGATCGTCACATGCGAGTTCGATGACAACGTCGATGGCACCGTTTCCACGTTGACATGGTTTGAACATTTTTCTCATAACCCTCCTGTCATCCTAGTAGCGTCCTTGCTCCTAGTAGCTTCTTGTTCCTAGTAGCGATGCCTGGAGCCCCTAGTAGCGTCCTTGCTCCTAGTAAACCGTTTGTCGAACCAATCCTCTTTGCTACGAGAACCGTTTGGATTCTTTGGTTTTTGTGAAGAGTGTCATGCATCCGCATGCCCACTCCCGGTGACGGCAGACCCCTCGCATGAGGAGCAAACAGAAGAAGATCAGAAGGAGATGAGGCCGTTTGCAGCATTTGGAGCACTCAAGAGCACTGAACGGCACAACAGAACGGCACTGAGTGGCACCCATTTCCAACAAAAAGAACTTCGCAAAAAGTGGTTTGCTCCAAATTCGGCAACTCGACACTCGTTGAACGACATGCAAAACGCCCACCCAGACGTTCTTTTTGTGTAGACCGAGAGGCTGGCCATGCAAGAAGTGACCAGAACCATCAGGCACGCGCGCTTTCGCGTTTTCAGCTGTCGGTGACCCAAAGGGTGACGAAACAGAGGCGTTTTGAGTAGTAACAAGTGCCACGCTACTAGAAACAGGTGCCTTACTAGTAGTAACAAAGTTCGCTATTAGAAATAGATTTTAAGTTAATAGCTTCTTCTTTTAATTGCTTCTTCTTATAGCGAACCTTGTGACTACTAGTAAGGCACTTGTTACTACTAGTAGTAAGGCACCTGTTACTAATGAAGATGTTTCCAATAGAAAACAATAATAGAGGTTGTTACGTTGTAGTATTTCTATCCTTTTCATGGTATTTTTGCGCTCCAGAGTTGTGGCTTTCGCAATATGTGGCTCCATGTCTTCCGCAGAAAGACTCCCCCGGGTGGCGGTAGACACACGCCTGACCCGCTGCTGGATGGCTTGGGAAAGTCGAGAGCTCATACCTGATGGAGTCAATGTGGGTGGATGGTTTTGCTTGGAGGATTGGTTCTATTCTCAGGCGACAGCCACCGCGACGTCCGGGAGCACGAATCCGAAGGCAACGGCTTCCACGACCACGGTGGGTCACCTGGTGGCCACTCCGAATTTGGACTACGAGAAGCACCGCTTTCAGCTGAACCGGGAGAAGTTGGTCGGGCATGTGTGCAGCATTTTCGCTCTGACTGCCACGGAGGACCGGGAAGCGGCTCGGAGAGCGCACCAGTGGGTTCCTTGGAGTTGGGTGCCGAACGAAAGGAGTTGGGTGCCGTTCACACATCCACTCAACTTGACTTCAAGTCGACTGAAAGCACCCCCCTTCTGACATCTGGTTAGATGTCTCCAAAGTTGTTACAAACGCCGGGTGATGTGGCTTTTCTTTAAGGACAGACATCCAGGGTGTTTCTTGGTGTTTGTTTTTTTCAGGAGGCTCGATTGCTTCGACCCTACTTCGGTTGCGAGTCCGACTTGATCAACCTCCTCCTGCAGAGCGGCCTCGGCGAAGAGCGCGTGCTGGAGCTCTTCTGGCAGCATCGCACGAGCTACGTGTCGCCCATCGACTTTGCTCGGATCCGTTCCTTGGTTCGAAGAGTTCCGCGCGCGCGACGGGTTTGGGCCGATGCGTCCGGGATTGGAAAAGTCCGGACTTCTCTTTTGCTAGGAGAAGTCCGTGATGCGTCCGGGTGGGTGATTTGGTTCGAAAAGACCGTGTTGACAGCTCCACCACTCACTTACTCCTCACCTACTCCTCACCTGCCTACTCCAGGTGCTTTGGGACTGAAGAAGATCCGATTGCCTCTCACCTGGTGCATCAATTACGACCAGCCTTATCGGATCAAAGGCAAGACCTTCGGAGGTCAAGATCAGGAGGTGCTCATCGGAACCGTGGCCGCGATCGTGAAGGACCCCTTCGAGAACGACCCCGCCTTCAATCCCAAGGGCATGGGCATCGCGAACGACCGATGGGTCTCCATTCCCATCCAAGTCGTTGAGCACGTGCTTGAGGTCAGCCTGCCCGAAATGGACAGAACAGGTGATCAATTCGTGATTTAAAAAACCGGTTGTGCCGTCATACATGGCTTAAACACTGACGTCCAAAGCATTTGCAATCCATCATATATAATGATATGGCTCACATGAGCCACTCGAAAGCAACTCCAACATCACACCCTGAAGTTCTATCCCATTTCTCATGTCACCCAGACTCAGATGCCCCGCGACCTCTACGTTCCCTCACCCGTCGAGGTGGCGGCTGACTTTGGACTCCAAGTGCTCCTGGACCTGCACGCCTTTCCCGGCGGCTCCAGCGCGGGGACCTTCAATGGCGTGTGGCCTTTGAACCCACGCTTCTGGACGGCGCATTGCTCGGAGAATTTCACCACCATCATGGTGCAGATCTTAAATTGGATGAATGGCTTGAGCAGCAAGAACCCCAAGGCCTTTAAGGGACTCTATGGTTTGACGCCCATGAATGAACCGGCTCATATGCGAGGCCTTTATGACACGTCCGGTGCTGCTGTGCCAGTTCCATACCAGGAAGCCTATGATGAGTTGGGTCTTCCCGGTTGGGCCAATGTCTCCACCCAGCAGATCCTGCAGACGCTGCAACTCAGCGTGGAGGAGTTTCGGAGGCGTCCGGCCCTGGCGTCGCAGGGCGTCCGGCTCCTGATGAACGTCATCGAGACCGCCTTCGCCGGGACCTTCGGCGGCACGGACGATGCCAAGGCCTTCGCGGCCAGTCAGACGGGCGAAGTGGGCTCCGTGACGGGGGCCCTGGGCGCCTGGTGGAAGGAGATCACCACGGAGTCTGAGCGGCAGACGTGGGCGGTGCTGGACCTGCACAACTACATTGCCTGGAACCCGGAAGTCAAGAACTTCGAAGAGATTGCCACCATGGAGGACTACAGGCGTTTGCTGAGTGAGATGAGTCTGCCATTCTTTCAACAACTCCGCAGTCGCTTGCAGATGCCGAAGCCGCAGCTCCTGGCGTGCTCCGAGTACAGCGCGAGTACCAATCAGGACACGCTGCTGTCGGTCACCAGCAGCGTGGGCCGACGCCCCAGGCGTTTGCCGTGGCGCGTCGGATGGCACACGCTGCGCGATGAGTTCTTACGTGGTCAACACCGGGCGGCGAAGGAGGAGAAGATCGACATGTGGTTCTGGACGTATCACATCCGAAAGAACCGGAACTACCAAGGAGAGGGGTCCTTACATGTCCATGCAACATATCCATTAGGTTGGAGGCCATTGCTTCTAAGTTGGAGGCCATTGCTACAATAAGGTTCAACACTTGCAGGAGAGTGGTCCTTACAACATGTCCTTTCGCCATGGCCACGGCTCCTCCAGAGCTTTGGACCTTTGTCCTTGCTCCGGTGTGTCGGCCATCTGAGCTGCACCTGTGGGTGGCTTTTGCTCTATGGGCTGCGAAGGCCCTGGAGCTTCATTTGCTGCGGTTTTGGCTGGCGATTCGTCTTCCGCGTTTGAAGACCACCGGTGCGGTGCCGCCGGCGCGTGCCCGCCCAGAGGGGTGCTCCGGTCAAAGTGGAGAACACTCAAAGACAGGAAAAGGCATGCCATTTGTACATACGGATTGCACTTCGTCATTGCTATCTTCATTGAATCGGTTTTGTGGCAGAATCGCTGCCCGGAATTCGACATGCAGGTGACAAAGAGTGTCGTTGCTTCGGTGCCCTCGTTGAGGCGTTTTGGGGCGACCCAAGGTGGTCCCGGTCGGCTGGTTGGAGCTGGGACACCGATGTCCACACCACCGAGGGCTCACCGTGGTCCCGGTCCCGTCTCGGGGTCCGAGGCTCATCGCAAATTGAAGAGCCTCAAGTTCTGGCGCATCGAGCTCTTGAAGTTGGAATGGGCGACTCCGCTGCAAGGATGAGTGAGGTTTCGTTTCGTTGCCCTCAAGCAACGAAACGAGCGAAAGGGATAAATTCATGGAAGAGAAGTAGTGGTTTCTATCAATTCGTGGAGGCTCTTTTGTGGAATGTGTGTGGGAAGGCCAAGACTATGCGGAACCACAGGCAGGGCCCTTCACCTTTGCTCATGGTCACGCAAGTTGTTGGAGCAGTAGCCTGACATGACCTGTTCTTCGTTGCGAAAAGAATTAGACAACACCAGAGAATTTAGGAGGTCAATGGTTTGGCAGAGATACGTCTTCAGCTATCGTTTACCAATGATACCGCTATGTTCCAAATGATACCGTGTGTTCGGTGGAAGCAAAAATGGATGTTCGTCGTCGACTCCAGACTCGACCAGAAGGTGTCGACCGATCGAAGGTGTTTCGATCAGTGTGGAAATGTTGGAGCGCCCAACCTGTTGGAAGGTGCGAAAGAAAGCCTATCTTTGTTTCTAATTATAATGCGTGTTTCTAATAGCTTCTTGCAACTAGTAAGGCACTTGTTGCGAACGAAGCGATGCACTTGTTCCTAGTAGCTCAAGAAACCCTATCTACCAGCACCCGACTTCACAGGTCACCACCCGCGACTTTTAAGTCTCCAAAAGCCACCAGAGAGACCTGTTGGAGGGTCCTGGTATAGTATACCTTATGTGCATTTATGTACTATAGATCTATAGTCGTCATCTTTTTGGGGGTCTTTCAGAGGGGGTCGAACTGGTCTTCTCCCTTTTCTTTCATTGGTCCATTGAGGATCCTTGGAGCGTCACCTGAGGCTCTTCCTCATCGCGCCGGATTCAGTCGGCGGGTTCTTCGCGGGGAGCCGAGCTGAGCCGAGCTGAGCGACGGGACGTGCGAAGCGCGGCGTCCACGATTCGGTGCGGGATTCGACGAGCTATGTGGGATAGCGCGTGTTCCGAAACATAGACACTCTTGGCACAGCCAGATGCCGCAGGCACATGGACAGATTTTCAGTTCATGCGGCAGCAACTCATCAAAGCTGGATTCTACATATTGCATGTCAGTTACTAGTCGCGTCCTTGCTCCTAGTAGCAATGCCAGGAGCCCCTAGTAGCTTCTTGTTTCTAGTAGCGATGCCAGGAGCTATTAGTAGCATCCTTGCCCCAATCAAGCTTGAAAAGGATTCTCATAAGACCAGAGGTCTTCAGGCTGCTTTGCCAGAGTGGATGTTCATAGACTGACCTTGACCTCGGTCAAGGGCTGTTCCGGTCATCTTCCGGCCGTGGAGATGGGTTCTGCGCAGACAGGTGAGACAGGGCTGTTCCGACAGCCGAAGAGCACCACTGTTCACTCGTTCACTGCATTTCACTGCTGTTGTTACTAGCGTGGCACTTGTTCCTAATGGCTTCTTTGTTACTACTAGCGTGGCACTTGTTTGTGTTTATTTCATGACTCCACCTTCGCTACTTCGTGATGGGGCTCCTTTGGAGAACAGCTTGGTGCTTCGTGATGGGTGAACCTTGATGAGGTCTTCGCCTGGTAAAAACGACCCCCAAGAAAGAACCATCCCCACCGGTCGTCCGTCTGACCGCTGCTCACCTCCGTGCTCGACACCTCGGTACGGGACGTGTCGGGTGGCTGGTCGAGTGCGAAGCTACCAATTGAACCAAGCTGGTAAGAGAAATCCACAAAACGCCTCACCTTTCGCGCAAGAGAAATCCACCCAGGCATGGCAACACCACGGCGTCCGCCCAACCTCTTGTTGAAGCCTGTACACCACGAGTCCGGCGCACCCGAAGACGACCACTCTCCACGGCCCGGAGCGGAGCGGCAGCCAGGCTGCCGAACTCCGAAACGCTGTGCTGTCCGGGCTGTGCGGCGGTGGGAGACCAGAGGTGTCTCCGTTTGAAACGACTTGACCGGTTTCCTGAAAAGTAATGATTTCTGCATGAGAATGAGCTTGAGGGGAGGCTGCACCGTGGACACATGCACACATGCAGGCAGTGACACTGTATTCCAAAGAGTTCCTAGGTCAGAAGCAGCATGTGGCCATTCCGATTAGGTTGGAGGCCATCGCTCTTAGGTTCATCGTGTGTCAAGGAGAATGCTGGGAGCTATGATTGTTGTGTCCCAGAGAAGCTGGACCTGGGATCGCATGGATCGCATGGATGTGAAATCTGACTGCCAAGGATGAAAGTGAATTTCCTGGGTTTACTCTCTCTTGTCCATCCCTCACCAAACGCTAATAACGGGAACAACTGAGAATGCTGTTCTCATTGTGCCTTGGCTGTCGTTTTCGGGACCACGATGCAGCCAGAATCGCTGGACCGCGAAATGGGAGATCTAGGGGCCTTAGATCACGCTGACGCCAGGAGGTCCCCAGTCTGTGGATCTTGAGAAAAGCATGTTTGCCAGAGTTTGCCACATGTTTTTTTGTTTTTTTCGGTGTTTTTTCCATGGCCTAGGCTGGGGACGACCTGGCTGTTTGTTTCCACAGGGAGCTCCCTGTGATTGGGGGGTGTGCATGCTCAAAACGCCGAGGGAAGGATGAATGGTGGAGCTGCATGGAAAAGAAGTGATGTGTGTGCAACCTGGGGGAGTTGAATTCCAGTCCGGTGGGGGCCAGGGATGGTCCGGTGGGTGTGTTCATCACTTTCGTCACCACAAGGAGGTTTTGCGACAGGAACCCAAGGCGAATAGATTGAAATAGATAGAAGCGGATTCTTGCAGCTTTCCTGAAGTTCTTCTGGCTGCATCCAGAAGGAGACTCGTCGTAGAAGGCCAGGGCCTCTTTAAGGTAGGAGGTTTGACCACTCCGACCTCCCGATCAAGGCGGGTGAACCCCAAATGGGACTTCCAGATCGATCACCTCAAAGTTTCAGCCCGTGAGCCCATCCTCTTTCATGTGAACGCATCGCTACTAGTAGCTTCTTGCTACTAGTCATGGCCTCCACCCTAGTAGCGATGGCCTCCAACCTACTGAGTTATTGGCTTCTTCCGCTCGGAACCCACGAACCCAGGCCGCGCGAGGAGTACGTCCGCTCGACCGAGGCCGAGAAGCAGCGCCGCGCAGACGCCCGCGAGCGCGAGCGGGAGCGGGAGCAGAAGAAGCGAGAGGAAGAAGCGGGACGAGCGGGACGAGCGGCATGGGATCCGGAGGGAAAGCGGTAGGAACAAGAGGACGCGAACCGAACGGGGCTCCTGGCCTTACGAACAAGAGGACGCTACGTTCGGAACAAAGGACATGTTGAATTGGTCTCAAGAGATTTGAAGACTGCCAAGAAAGTTTAAACATATCCTTCGTAAGAGAGCAGCACTGATGTTGTTTACTTGAGATTGCAGGAACTGGATCACTGAATTTTGTTGTGTCAGCCTGTGTGGTCACAAGTCTTCGGACGTTTCCATGTTCGTAGGGTGTTCTTTTCTTTTCCTAGGTCGGCGTGTATGTGATGGGCCACAACTTCGGAGCTGTTGAACGGATTCTAAGGAAAGAAAAATATAGTAGCTTCTTGCTACTAGTAGCGATGGCCTCCAACCTAATAGCGGTGGCCTCCATCTAGTAGCTTCTAGCTACTAGAAGCTACTAGTAACTTCTATAGAGTTGAGACCGGGACGACTTTGAGGAATCTGCTTTTCTCAAGATCACACCCACAAGGTCAGTGGGGCCTCCCATGCCACTGAAAGGCGCAAACAGGTCGCTGAATAAAGAAGCTACTGTGGCATTTTTACCCAGAAATACTTCATAGATTGAAGCAGGTTGTGCGTCGTCACACTATTGATGGGTTTTCTGGACGTTCCACCATCACAACCGGGATAGCTACTGGTCAACCCTCTCAGAGCATCCCGACACCCATCGAATGAAACAAACGAACTGAAAGAACACAAGTCCAGAGACCAACACTCGAACAAGAAGACCATTCAATCGGGTCCAATCTCCAAGCCTTCAAACCTCATTCAAGCCTTTGATGAGTTCTTGCTACCAAGACGGTCTTTGGGATTTGGAAGCCCAAGTAGTTCTTCTTGCTTTGAAAGCCTCATAGCAAGGACGCTATTAGGTGGAGGCCATCGCTGTTAGGTTGGAGGCTATTACTACTAGTAACAAGAAGTTACTTGTAGCAGTGGAAAACGCACAACCAAACCTCATTCAACCACGAGGAGCGCCGCACGCGCAGAGAGCGCAGCCGCAGCCGAAGTCGCCGGCGCAACCAGCGCAGCCCACGAAGAGACCGCAGCCCCCGCAGAGAGCGCAGCAAGCACAAAGAGCGCAGCGCGCGCAGAGAGCGCAGCGCGCGCAGAGAGCGCAGCCGCAGCCGCGGCGGCACGCGGCTTCCTCGGAAGGCCGTGGCGGAGGGGGGGGGACTGAGCTTTTACAGCACCAAACCCGTTCTTTTCTGCCCTAAGATCCCTGAGCTGTTCACCCGTACGACACGACAAGGTGGACAAGGTGGACAAGGTGCCAGATCCCAAGCCGAAGACCAAGGAGATGAAGGCGGGGCGCGGAACCTCGCCTACCCCTCGTTGACCTCCTTGGTGCAAGGGTTTCGGGAAGGTCCCTTCTTCCTTGGTCCTTCGGTGGTGTTGGTCCAACTCTTGGTGCTTGGTCCGACTCCGGAAGACTCACATGGACCCGCTTTGGGCACCCGCTCGTGAAACGGGCCGGAAGTGGTCGGAAAGCGGCAAGCGACGTCTCGCTTCGTCCAGCGGCCGAAGTTGGTGGCGAAGTTGGGGTGGTGTCCCTGTTGACGTTCTCCTTCGCTAGGAATTGTCCATTGGATTACTCCTTTGACTTGGCAAGAAAGTGAGGATTTGTCCGATCAAGGCTATTGAGGCCATTCCTAAGTGCGTCATCCTAACACTGCAATCCTAGGACTTAGACTGACCCTAGATATGCATGAATAGAGTTTTCATGATGGGATTGCCAGATTGTGTTTCAGAGTGATGGGAATTGCTCCACATCCAAAGCCATCCCGATAGCTTACATGGGGGAGCTCGATGCGATCTAGAATCTAGAGAAGCAAACTACATCAATATTAGTGAGCTATGAAAATGTTCAATGGCAATGGACTCCAACCTAATAGCAATGTGGGAGCTCGATGGATAATGTTGGTAATCCAACTTGACTTTCCTTCCTTCAAGTGTCCTTCCTCAGGGTCCTCCAAGGTTCTTTCCGCGGCAAGGTAGAACGTGCAACAACGGGGAAAGCCACACGAGACATTAGGATTTATATTGGCGAGTTTGACGATTCATGTTCGCGCTTTGCCATACTCTGCCATTGACCTGTCAACCAACAGTTGGAGCACCGCGAGAAAGCATCGATATGAGACGCCAATGTCCTTTTCGTGGCAGAATGATGAGATCACAAAATAGATCTTCAGCAATGTCCGAGACATATGGAAATACCGAATACCGTTTGTCCCAAAAAATCCTCACGTTTTGAAGCACCGTGGCTTCACTTTGTGCTCGCCTTTCTCACCTTTCCATCGCTTTTGCTCGCTCCACGAAGAACCGAACCGAGACGGTGTGAACACCGAGGTGCGCGAGAGCTCGCTCTACAGCCTGGTGCTGCAGGCCACGTGCTCACGAGCGACTGCGACGTCTGTCGTGATGAGACCAGACACAATCCTTAGAGGTGCCTGGAGGTGGGGAGGGGTGTCCAAGAACCACTCACGTAAGGGGACGAAGTTCACTACCCAACTCCGTGACTCCTGGGACGTGTTTTTGGTCCTTTTTTTTCGGATCTTTTTGGGGTCATGGGACGCACCAGCTGGCGATGCAGATGGTTCCGGCACGTGGTTTTGGGTGGCCTGCCAGTTGGGAGATCATGAGCGAGTTGGTTCTGAAGGGGCAGGCAAAGAACCATCAATGAAATATGCTCCCTGCCAGGGGTTTTCGCTTGTAAGCGGTTGGTGTACTGCAGAAAGTCGGGGTCAATGGAGGAAGCCTCGTCGAAATCCGACCATGTTGAACTGCAGTCTGGAGTGATTCCACCGGTTGAGTCATGAAATCAAGTCGAGAAATGCTTTGAGTCCAAGCCATGCTTTGATGTCAACGGGACAGCGAAATGATGTCTTAAAGCTGAGGACGGTTCACCCCAATCGATTTGGAACACGTTCGGCTTGGAATCGTTCATAGCGAAATCGTCTGGGGGATCAGCCGTGGTGGGAAGCAGTTCTTGCGCTTCATCAGCACTGCCGGTTTGCGCTTCATAAGCACGTTCGCTTCATACTCGCTTTGCGGTTTGGACGGTCGTGACTGGATCGACCGGTCGGAGTCAACGAGTGACTGGACGGATCGACCGAGGTCTTAGAACGCTGGCGTCGGAGGCCTCGGTCTGGCGTCGCAGCACATGGCGGCCGGGGACACGTTCGTCGACCGGGGACGCGTTTCGTCGACCGCCCGGGGGGCGACCGGACGGGAAAAGGTCAGTTGACGAACGAAGAAGCAACCTGTGGGGTCCCTGCAAGCTATAAAAAGATGCCATACCCTGCAAGCACGTCAAGGCTGTCATAGGACCCTTTAAGGGTCCCTGCTAGGAAAAGTCTAATTGCCTTCTTTGCTTGGCCGCCTCACTGTGGCACCAAAACCCTGCAGCGTTCGTTCCAACTCATCCCAAAAAGGACGGGTCATGACTAGAGGACGGGTCATTGAATGCGGAACCGAAATCCTCCAAAACCAGCCCCTTCGGCCCAACGCTGAGGCACCGTGGCGGACGACGAGGTGGGCGACGAGCGCTTCGTCGACGCGCTTCACCTCGCCCGGACGCCCCGGCGACCAAAGGGCGGCACGCAGAAGGAAGGTCCGGAGTGAGTTAAGTGGATCACCGCGTCTCTTGGTAAACCGAGAGAATTTACGGGGAACACTCAAGTAGAATAGGAGTTCGTTCAGTGCAATTTCATGTTCGGGAAACGGTTTCCTTGGTTCAATGGCTGAACACGGTTTCAACTCGTGTGAGTTTCGCGTCAGCGACGAAACGGAGAGTTCAACATGTTCCCCGTGCGTTTTCAGAGCTTTCATAGCTGATCACCGATTCAGCAAGCAATAGTGCTGTCGCCGTCCAAGGAACGAGCTGCGTTGCTTGTCCACCGAGTCGAGCCACGCAGCAAGCTGAAAGCCCTTTTTCCTTTGGGTTAGTCCGTGTGAAAACGCCCAGCCCGACCACATCGTCACATCGATTTCACTTTTGGACCGCCCCCAGGTCTTGGAGTCCCGGGTCTTGTTGAAGCGAGAGGTCGAGGAGGTGCACCCGGAACGTTGAGAGGTGTCCGCCGAACGAAAAAGGACGAAAAAGGCACCTGGCACCATGAGTTGTTCGATCACCATCAAAACCCATCCTTTTTTGGGGGGATCATACAGTCAGACATGTGTTGGTTTAAGGAAGGCTTGTCGTTTGGCATGTGCCCGGCACATGGGTGGAAGTCCTGTGAGGCACGACACCGCATGGTTTGCTCTTTCCACTTCCGCATGTTCGACCCATCTGCACCGCGGCGATTTAGACGGAGGTGGAATCACGCCGGCATGGATTGAAGTGTCTTCACTGTTCCTTCGGGTCTTCTTCGGAAAGGCGAAGGTTCTTTCACCGCGTTCGTTTCGAAAGACATGACCCAGGGGAAGAGACCAGGGCCGTGTGCCCAACGTTAGTATGGGGCCCGAACGTGTTTGGACTGCGCAGGTGCAGAAGCGCCTCTTGGAGACCCAGGGAACACGTCCCACCAAGCGACCGCGAGGTCCAGGTGCGATCGACGCCACGGTGTTTGGAGATTTGAGTGAAAAAACTCCAGTGAAGAACTGCGGAATTGAAGGACGCTACGAACGGGGCGCTCCTGGCCTTACTACTAGGAACAAGAAGCTAGTCGCTACGAACGTCACAAATTAGGGCACCAATTACTACGTTCGTAGCCTTCGTCGCCCATGCGTTTTTGGAGATGTCGAATGACTTTGGTTTTTTGCACCGCGGTCACACGGCAACTGTGGCCTTTAAGAGGTCCTTTGCATTCACCTAGGACCTAACCTCAAATAGATACTGAAATGGCAGCTTGGGAAGCAGAAGACAAGTTGGTGTCCAAATCACTCCAGGAACCAACAAAGACAGTCGGCTCAGTCTACCTGCCAGTATATGGATAATATGAGTGCCTTTTTTGCGGAGACGCGGCTTAAGACAGACCTTTCGCAAATTTCTCTGCAGGCTCACAGGTTGGATGCGTTTCCCCAATCACCGACTAGATGTGGCAGCAGAACTAGTTCTTGTCACGGATTGTGAAAGGATATCAGTTCAGCTGACGTCGTCGATGAAGGCAGTGCCAGCAGTTTGCGGGTCCCAACGGCCCTGGCGGAGCTCGAGAAGCGCCAGAGACCGAGGGATTTGGACCAGAGGGTTCTTTTCCGCAGGAGACCTCAAATCTTGTCACTTTGAGTCTTTTTGGGAAGTGGAAGAGGCTCAGACTGTGACAGTCTTTGTTCGCTTCAGCTTCTCAAAAGACAAAGAAAGACGGTCCTGAGGCAATCGAAGCATGATGAAGAACTTGGACATGCACGGTGATATGCTTCGAGGAGAGATGCAGGCAAGGCTTTGCTACATCAGGTCCTCAGCGCATGAAGGATGACTCAGAAACAAACAAAACAACAAACGTCCCCTGAGCCACAGACATCTGAAATCGATGCCAAAAGGCTTAATCCGCCACCGACAACACCGCGGCGCCGCGCCCTCCGCCTCCAGGCTTTGCGTCCGGTCCTGGAGTCCGCGGCGCCCTCCGCGGAGGCCGCGGCGGAGCCGCCCGAGGACGCGGAGGACGCGGCGGAGGACGAGGTCGGCGAGACCGAGAAGGCCCGGATGGGCGGGGTGGTACACGGGTGTGGTGTAACCGGTGTGCCGAACAGCGGTGCCACCGAAATCGAACGGGTGGAATGGGGTGGAAGTCTGTGGAATCGTTCGAAGGGATGGTGTTTGGAGTTCCATGTCGCATCCAGCGAGCTTTTGGGTCATATTTGGAGTCATGTTTTGGAACAAAGAGGATCATCGGCTTGGAAGGAATCCCAAAGACTGATCGACGAGGATCAAAGACTGACTGAACACCTTGAAATCCTTGGGGCACACGGTGTCCAATTTTCATGATGTGTCCATGATCGTCCTACCAAATATGTCACTTTCTTCTCGTGCTCTTCATGTCTCGCACTCCCAGTGTTTCATGCATCTCTTCATCTTTCGGTTGAAATCTCTCCCAGTCGAACTCTCTCCCAGTCGCCCAGACGTGCTGTGTCTCCGTCTTGAATCGAAGACCACTTCGCCGAGGACGAAGAGGCTGAAGAGGCCGAAGAGGCCGAAGAGGCCGAAGAGGCTGAGCCCGAGGCGGATGTGGTGGATGTCGATGAAGAAGAGCTTCCAGCGCCATCCTCTCCCGCGGAGGTGCACGACCGGCGTGACATCACGGCGGCTGAGGTCCCGACCCAAAGCAAGACGGCAGGTCGGATGGAGAATTTGCTTGGGTAAAAAAATCAGATTTTGGAGTCAATTCGACCAAAATCCGACCAAAGGACCCTCCGAGCAATTCTCCATCATTTCTCCATTCTAAAGGAAACCCCTAGTAGCGAACCTTGCTCCTAGTAGTAGTCCTAGTAGTACGGCCAGGAGCCCCTAGTAGCGTCCTTGTTCCTAGTAGCGATGCCAGGA